TACTTAATCTTACACACTTAAAGCAAAATATTCACCAAGTATATAGCTGCACATCACACAATGTTATAATTGTCTAACTTCCAATTTCCATCTGATATTTTTCACAAAGATTATTCAGATTAAAATTTCACATTTATTAATGTGATGATTAATGTTACCAATTTAAGAGAATCTAGAATCCCTTTCTACCTCTCTCCTTTCCATCTCCAGGCAGGGGACCCTGCCATGTGTAAGTAGAGAAAGTCAAATGAGCACTAACAAAAATCCATCACTTTCTGCTACTTGAGTCACTGTGGATACAATGAGATCAGTTTCTGCTGCCTCAACTTCTCCATGATGGATTATGAATCAGAGGAGTAAGCCCTCTTCTCCTTAGGTTGCTTTTGTCCTTAGTATTTTATCACCGCAGCAGGAGATGAGGCTAAGGCAGCTGGGTTTATTTTTCTCATCCTGTAGGCATTCTTTATTACAGGTCTTCTTCATGAGCTCCATGGATCTGATTCTCCCCCATGTCTGAGTTCTCTGGGCATAACTAGCTGGTAGTGTAAGAGGCTGAGCTCACACCTAACAGAGTTTAAAATGAGAAAATTAATACAGGATGCTGATGGAAGCCTTGGTCTTGTAGTTTGATTTCAAAGAGTATTTGCTGCTGTTCCTACTTTTATTGTGAAAATGAATGTCTCACAGGCTAATCCTCAGCTTTGGTATCATTTTCCTTTGAGATGTCTGGTCCTCACTGTTGGGGTTGGGCTTCTCATTGGTGATCCATAGAAGAGGCTCACACTGGCTGCCCTCCCATCTTCAACTGCATCTCATCATCGATGTCAGACTACAGTGTGAAGTTCTATTTGTCTGGCACTAGGACTGCTGCTCATGTAAGAAATTCTGACACAGTAGGTTTGTGATGCAGTCCAGCACTTACCTTTTAAAAGATTCTCAGAAGGAATTCTAATGTACAATCCAGTTGAAAACCAGTTTTCATAAATGTAAATTAAAATATACACATAATAACAATTAAAGAAGTAGAGGCCATGAATTTGAGAGAGCAGGGGAAGTGGTACATAGGGTTGTGGTGGGTTGGGGAGGATCATTATATTAGGTTATTTTTCTGTTGTGGTGATAAAAACACCATGACTGTCTTAAGTTAGGGTTCTATTGCTGTGAAGAAACACCATGGCCACAGCAACTCTTATAAAGGAAAGTACTTAATTGGAGCTGGGTTACAGTTTCAGAGGTTAAGTGTTACAAAGTTTTCCCACCAGCCTGGCCCACAGCTGTGTCAGCCCCAAATAACACACAGAGACACTTTATTAGATATAAATAAAGCTGTTGGCCGGTTACTAGCCTGTCTTATTAGCTAGCTCTGTCTTAAATATTAACCCATTTCTATTCATCTAAGTGTTGCCACGTTATCTTACCGGAGAGAGGATCCCAACCTCTTCTCTCTAGTCTCTACATCTTGAATCTCATCTACTAAATCTCTCAGTATCCTCCTTGTCTCCTAATCCCACCTATCTTGCCTTCCTATTTGCCAATAGTGCTTTATTCATTAACCAATAAGAGAAACATATTTACAGAATGGCATCTCCTATCAGTTTAGTTCATTACTGTCATGGTGGGAAGCATGGCAGCATGCAGGCAGACATGGTGCTGGAGAAGGAGCTGAGAGTCCTACATCATGATCTGCAGGCAGCAGGAGAAGGCTGCCCACTGGGCCTAGCCTGAGCCTATTAGATCCCAAAGCCCTCCTCCAACAAGGCCACACCTAATAGTACACTCCCTATGGACCAAGCATTCAAACACATGGGTCTATGGGGGCCATTCCTATTCAAACCACCACAACCAAGGGAAGTTATGAAGGGTTTACTTGAACTTACAGCTCCAGAGGGATGAGAATCCATCACCACCATGGGCAGGGAGCATAGGAGCTAGCAAGACACTGAAGTAGCAGCTGGCAACTCACATTTAAAGCTACAAACAGGAAGCAGAAAGAACCCTGAGGACGATGCGACACTTTTGAAGCCTCAAAGCTCACCCCAGCAACAAGACCACACCTACTAATCCTTCCCAAACAGTTCCACCAAGTATTCAAACTTATAAACCTATGGGGGCCATTCTCATTCAAACTATCACAATTATGTAATTTTATTTTAAATGTTAAAAAAATTAAATGTAAATATTAACTACTATACAAATATTCATTCCTTGACAATCATACCTTTTATAATCCTCCTTTTACCCCAGCCTGTGTTCTCACTATCACAATGCAACAAGACAAACACCCTCTGATATCACTATCTCTGAACTTCTCCAGTACTTGAATCAACGCCTTGGTTTTCTCTCCACTACTGGATCCTGGATATCCTGCAGTCCTGCTTCTGTCCACACCACACTACTCTTTCTGACACGACCCTGAATGTCTCAATAACTACAAGTCCACTCAAATAGCACATCACATGCCATTATCTTTTGGGTTCTCCTCTTAAACACTAGCAGCAGTGGAAGAAATGCACAAGAACTTCTGTCCTAATGGAGCTTACATCTTAAAGGGGAAAAGAAAACATAAAGTACACACTGAGGTAAGAAATCAGTATTACAGAAAAACTGAGTGTGAAGAGGGATCAGGAGTGTCAGGTAGTAGATGCAGAAATACTTATGCTGGGTGACTCAGGAGAGCATTAGGCATTTAGACAATTTCTTGAGAAATGAATAAATATTCCAAGAAGCTTGTACACACACAAAAAAAAAAAAAAAACAACACTATGTTCTTACTGTATTGCTAGCACCTGAGACAGGTCTAGAACACAACACAGCACAAATTAAGTAAGATATTATTTATAATGTATGTTATATTAAGAGGGAAAATGTCAACATCAACCATCACAATTACCATCAATTTTCTTTCTATATGTTTAGAGGTGGAACTTCACAGGAAGACCTCCTTCCCCCATCAGACTCCTAACCAACAAGAACTTCATAGAGAAGAGCTGGATGCAGCCTGGGGTTGTGTGGCTGACACTTTACAGTGCAAACTGAACTCTGAAGATTAATGGAAGGAAAAACACGATCCATTTGTTCTTAGCTTTGCATTGCCATTCTGTGCTCACAACCTGTGTGTTTATGGTACAGGGAAGGCTTTCACTCACTACCATCCTTAGAAAACAGTCTTGTCTCAAGAGAGCCACCTGGAACCCAGAAACAATGTACTAAATCAAGTATTCCCCATATTCCTGTCTCCAGGTTCCCCGGGTCCTAGAAAACTTTTCTCCTCTCAGAAGACCAACTAAACACATTTGCTGTTAAAATTAAACCTAAGTGAGATGAACACACAGGAAATGACTCTTAATTATGATCAAAGCTGAGGACACAATTTAAATTCATTAAATACTGTGTTGGAGAGCATTGGTTCTCAACTGATGTTTAGGACAATCTTTTTTATTTCTTTTTTCTTTTTCAAGACAGGCTTCACTGTGCAACAGCTCTAGCTGTCCTGGAACTCATTCTCACACTGTAGACCAGGCTGGCCTTGAACTCACAAATATCCACCTGCCTTTGCCTCCTGAGTGTTGGAAATAAAGGTATGTGCCACTGTAAGGATGGAAAAATTTAGCCTAATTCTCCCTAGACTCTGCCCCCTAGCAGTGAGTAGGCAAAAGGTCATTCTTGACTGTTTACGACAGGGACGTTTAGGGACAGCACCTGTGAGTGAATGAGAACAGGAAATGAGCCACACTACCCAGAAGCCCTAGCGAAAGCAGACTTCCTGGGCTAAGCGTGGGCTTGGATAGTTCAAATTGATTGGTGTACACTGGATGCTATGAAATGATTGGTTTGTGATGTGCGGGCTTTGTTGTAACCCTATAAAAGCTGTCTGAACCCTGTACCCAGGGTTCCCAGTCTTCTACCCCACGTGGAGTATGGCTGTGGACCCCAGTGCACTGGAATATAAAAGACCTCATGCTTTTGCATCAAGACCGCTTCTCGTGAGTGATTTGGGAGGGGGGCGCCTTTCCTAAGTAGGGGCGTGAGGGTCCATGCCCTCCGCGAGTCTTTCACCACCACCACCTGGCAGAAAATTTTTAAAATCAAGTTTTTAAGCTGGGTATGGTAGAGAATGTGGAGGCAGAGGCAGGTGCATCTCTGTGAGTTGAAGGCCAACCTCATCTACATAGTGAGTTCCTGGACAGCCAGGGTTACACAGAAAGACTCTGTCTCAAAATGTTAAATAAAAGTAAATAAAAAATAAACAAATAAACCAAGTTTTTAAATATTGCTTTTGAGCTGGGAATGTGGCTCAGCTGGTAAAGTCTTTGCTTAGGACCCAGGATTCAATTCCCAGCACTGTATAAATCAAGTGTGATGGTACATACCTATAATCCCAGTGCCCAGGCATGGAGGAAAAAACAAACAAACAAACAAACAAACAAAAAACCCCCACTGTTTCAGAGGCCCTCAAGAATAAAGAGACAAGTGTTAATCTTGATTAGCTAAGGCATGCCTCTCTGGGCAGGTCTGTGAAGGTATCTCCCAGGGTTACTTGGGGGGAGGGGCAGAGACCTTCCCCACAGGGGCTGTCACCAAAAGGTAAGGATCTAAAGCTGTGGGGAAAGCAGTGTTGCCTCTGCCACCATCTTCATTCCCTGTTGGTGAGCTTGTCAACCCCACTCCTGACTCTGCTGCAGCCATCCTTTACCCACATTGGAATCTTGCTTCTTTGGTTTTCTAAAGTTGGACAAGGACCAGCAGCTCTCCAGAGTCCTCCAGGCCACCAGCACCAGATTGGGACTGCTGAGGACTTCACCAGCCTCTTGTACTTGGCAGTTCTTGGTTCTCTGCCTCTCCAGGGTGAAGACAGCCATGTGGACTACCTAGCCCTTACCATGTGAGCCAATCTAATAAATCCCCTGTAACATAGTCCTATCCGTTCTGTTCTTCTGGAGAACCTAACACAGAAGGGAAAAACAAGTTTGCAAAGAAGTCAACGTAACTGATAATAGTATAAATATTTATTTAGTCTTTCTTCGATTTAAGTAAAATTTAAATTGTATAATTACATGGAGAGGCTAAGAAAACATATTCAGCATTGTTCTTCTAAAATGTGTATTTTATTTCCTCTTAAAGAATGACAAGGTGCTTACAGATTGCTGCTTCATGATTTGACACACCCCCAAGCTCTGTGTGCAGACTCTGTGAACAGTGAAAACTAGAAACGCTAAACTGCCTAAAATGAGTTACTGAGAGCCTGGTTCAAGGACAGGAGTGAGGAGATGTACCTCATTAACTTGGAGCAGGGGATTCTTCAGAAGCCAGAATCCTAACCATGGCAGAGAACTTTCTCCTCTCACCCAAGCCTAGGAGAACCTCCGAGAAAAATATGACCATAAAAAAAGCTTTTGGGCATCCTATGTGTAAAGTAGTGTAAGCAAAGTAATCAAGGATGGGCATAATGTGAAAGCAACCATAGTTATGGGATGTATAAAAAACATCTCCTTGCACAGTGAGTGTTGCTTCCGTATATCTTAACAGGGTCATTTTCAGCATCTGTTAATAATTTTCCCAGGATTCAACAGACAAAAGCAGTAAATTAAATCACAAAGCCACACGTAATGCATGAGGAAAATTACAGACACTACACTGGCTATCACTGTGTTCAATGAGGGACTCTTTAAAGAGCAGTGTAGGGCTATGCCCTCCACTGTTCTGTAATCGTCTGGCTATGCTTGCACAGGATGTTACAAAGATCAAAGGCGTGTACTACCTATGGCTTTTATTAGCAGTATGTAAAGTATATGAAAAAGTGTCAGTCCCTGCCTAACCCCTTTACCTGCTTCCACTAACAGATGAACTAAATAAGCACCCAAACAGGCAACAACATAACTTCCACCTACTTCTCTGAAGGCTGGTGTTTAAATGTTTCAAATGAGAAGAACTATAAATGAAGAAAATGGTTCCTGAAGTGCCTACACAGTTTCTGGACGTTTCCCATAAGGACAAAAGCAAATGTGAGTTTTATTACTGCAGAAAAGTTACTTTTTCCTCTTCATAAACCGTTTTGCTGCTTTCAAAAGCTCTTCCACATCTTCCTTCTCCTCATTGTCCTTTCCCGGCTGCCAGTCAGAATCCTCATCTGTTGGCTCGTGTCCTTCATCCTCATCTTCTTCTGGAAAGCTGTCATTCAGGTCATTCTCACTGGGGTGCCCGACATCATCACTATCTTCATCTAGAGCAACCCTGACTGAAACACAGTGTATTGCAAACAACACATCAATCAATACAACTGGGGTTAGGGACATCTGTTGGAAAATATCTCCCTGCAGCAAGAATTAATTACTATTGAGCTAACAGGCGTTTTCTTTCAGGCCACCAACGGCTCCCACATCAGGACATGGAGACTTATTAGTTGTGAATGCTTGGCCTTATCTTAGCTCTTATTTTAATCTGTTTCCTTGATCTACGTTTTGCCTCAGGGCTCTTTACCGTTCTTTCTTTACATCTTACTTCCCTGCTGTCTCTATGTCTGGCTGGCTGGCAGCTGCCTGGCTTCTGACTCTGGGTGTCTCCCTCTCTTTCTCCCTTGTTCTCATCTCTCTCATTCTTTCTTCTCTTCTCTTTCTCTTCTCTTCCCCCCCCCCAACCCGTGCATGTGTGCCTACTCCTACTTATTCTCTCTGTCCTCCAGCCTTACCTACCCTTTATCTACCTAGCTGTTGGATGTTCCACTTTTTATTAGACCAATCAGGTGCTTTGGACAGACAAGGTGAAACAGCAACACATCTTTACATAATTAAACAAATGAAGTAGAAACAACTGTAACACACCTTTACATAGTTAAAGTAATATTCCACAGCATAAACAAATGTAATACATCTTTTCCAAGTTAATATTCCATACAACAACGGGCTCTAAAATGATCATTTGTTTATTAGTCTAACTCTCCACACTGTGAGGTACCTGTGACTAACCTGGCCCATGAGAATCAAAGCAAGGGTCCCTAATAACCCATGCTACAGACCCCCAGCCAGCTGTGCCATGCCCTACCCCTTCCTAAAAGGGCTACTCTTATGTCTCCACTGACTTGGCCAAAGGTAAAATGGTGACAGCATGCACCACTTGCAAGTAGATGCTTGGAAACCGCATTTAAGAACCAACTGGGAAGCTTTTTCTCTGGAAGCTCGGAGGCAGAGGGCAATCCCTGAGAAGCAGGAGCTCGGGAAGTTCTATCAGGCCTGGGTGCTCTCCCATCTACCTTTACTCTGACCTTGGACCCCAAACAGCTGTAGGGAAGGTTTCCTCACAGATTCCCCAACTCTGTCCTCATTCTTTCTGACTCAGAATGATTTGTCTTGAGTCAAACCACAGTCTCCAAGGCCACACTCCATATGGTGCAGTGAATGCCCCATTGGTGAAAAGCTTACACAACACCAACATGACCAGAGCCCAGCCGCAGATGTCCCACTTCTAAAATCAGTAACAAAGCACAATTTAGTAACTTCAGTTCTCATAGTTGTGACTCCCAGTAAATGTGCACAGGATTCAAAAGCATAATGTACTTTAAATTAAGAGCTCACAGCATTTTCTTGTATTAGATTCAGCTTATTTGATATATGATTTCTGAGTATACTTGCAAAATAAAAGTGAGCATGTTTCTTCCAAAGTAAGGTGAGCATAGAAGTTATTGTTTTTCTTTTGCAACTTTCTCTAAAAATGCTTAAAGGTTTCTTACTGTAGATACTCTAAGTCTTATGGTTGGTCATTCACCCTGCCCCAGAAAAAGAGTCTTACGAAAACCAGCATGGTTTGTAAGAAACAATAGGCCTGAAGTCTAGACATGGGTAAGTCAGTCAATGTGGTGAGTAAGCCAATGAGGGCTGCTCTGCTTTACCTTCTGTTGCTGTGATAAACACCATGATTACAAGCAACCTGGGAAGGAAAGGCTTTATTCCATTTTACCAGCCACAGCCCTTCACCAAGTGAAGTCAGGGCAGAACTCAGGCTGCTGACTGGCTTGCACTCTGGTTCACACTCAGCTAGCTTTTTATACAGTCCAGGCCCACATGTCTAGAGATGTTGTCTCCCACACTGGGCTAGGCCCTGCTACATCAATTAGCAATCAAGAAAGTAACCCACAAACATGCCCACAGCCCAATCTAATTTGGGTAATTCCTCAAATATGGTTTCTTCTTCCCTAGGGACTCAGTTTGTATTAAGTTGACAATAAAACTAATCAAGGCAATGATGAACTTTACTTTATATGATGGAATTAAATATTTTTTTAAATCTATGAAGTAATTAAATTGTCTCAAAGATCATTTGTAACTCTAAAATAAACATTTTAAAGCCAAAACAGGAATCTTGAACATCTCTACAAATCAGTGAAACACAGTGAGTTGTGAAAATGTACTGACAGCTTGACTACTTGAAGACAGAACAGAGGATATAAACTGTCATTTATTTTTACAAACTGGTGGAAAACACTTAACTACCATGATGGTGAAAACAACTTTTAGAAAAAACAATAGATTTGACCTCACCTACTGTTCAACAGACAGTATTAGAAAATGGCCATGTTGGACTTCCCTAATTCTCTAATGACTCTAACTAGGCAGAGGAAGCTCTAAGAATAAGATGACATCAGAATTATAAGAATTACATAACAGTTCTGGGGGGCACAGCTCTTGCCTGGCACAACCACTGGGTGAGTTTCCAGGAGAATCATTCCAAATTGTTGCTATACATGCTTCATAGCAGATTAATAGCTTAATTCTTTGGATTTTATTTTCCTTTTTCTTTCCCATAAATACTATTTGGTACACTACTCTAGAGAAGGAAATTTTACTATAGGCTATAATAATATATTTTCATTTTACAACCAAAGACTAGATTTTTTTTTCCCTTTTCTTTCTTCCTTTTTTGGGGGTGTGTGTGGATTGTTTGTTTGTTTGTTTGTTTTTCAAGATAGGGTTTCTCTATGTAACAGTATTAGCTGCCCTGGAACTCACTTTGTAGACCAGACTGGCCTCAAACTCACAGAGGTCTGCCTGTTCCTGACTCCCAGGTGCTGGAATTAAAGGTGTGCACCATCACTGTGCAGCTTTGTTTGTTTGTTTGTTTTTTTAATATACCAACACGTTAGTAGGTGTTCACATTTGGAAAAGCAGCTTGTAAACATCTGCTGCACTTTATCACACCACTGCATCGGCTCTCTAACAGCCCATACTCCTGTATCGCTCAGCTCTTCCCATTTACGTAGCAGCTTGAATCTCAGGTTCTTTAGTTGCTTTCTGTCTAGGTCTCTGGGGTTCCATTTCTTGGGGGGAAGAGGGAAACTATCAGTGTGTGCACACCACTACAGAAGGTTTGAAGCAGTTATCAGTAATCACTCTGAGCTCTTGTAACAGCATCAGTTGCCTAGAGGGACACATACCACATAGTAAGTGACTTGAAAAAACAACTCCAAAGTCAGATGTGAATGCTGGTGACAACTGCTTTTAAATGTCATCAAGAAGTAAGACAGCTAGCGATATGACAACATTTTCCTGGCACTGATTTCTCTTGCATTCACTATCTTGTGCCAAAGCTCTAGTACTCTGAAAATGTGTGGAAAGCTCATGTTAGCTAGACACAGAAGAAACGTGACAGGTGGCAACAGAACAATACACAAGCAATGCAAACCCTTAGCTGCAACATGTAAAAAATCTCTATGGACTTTCCAGCATTTCAGGAGGGCTACAAATGAGAAATTAAATACCCAGCCTCTAGTGTGGTTGCTTTAATGCTGATACTCTGCTATATTGCATTATCTTATGTGGCCATGAGTGTCTACCTCAAATGAAGCATGTTTAGTTTTTTAAAAAGAAACTCCTTCGTGGAGTGTCATCTCCCTATCCTGATCACCTGCACTACAGTCCAAGACCACTGCTGTTTCCTCTCTCTCATGCTGGCCTCCATTCCATGGCACATCAGTTGGCAAGTCCTATTGATTCTTTCAAGATCTCTTAGCTTTGGGGTACTTCTCATATCCCTGTGCCCCTTCTCACACAGAAGACACATGACATGAAAAACTGAGTGTGTGAAGTAATGGATCTATACACATATGAGGTTAGGATCTAGGTAATGATAAATGTTTACATTTGGGAGGTAAGAAAAACAACTGTCAGAATTCTGTCTTAGACATTGCTGAATTAGAAAATATGAGACCCTAACATTTAATTTACCATTTAAAGTATTCAGACCCACAAGTTTTAGAGGAGGAAATGATGTTCTGATTACATCAGCACAGAGATTCCCAAGAGCTCACAGAATTGCTCCCTACTTACAACTGCTCTGGAATCTGAAGCCAGTTAACACACATACGTACACACATACACACACATACACATCTAGGATAAAGCCTGATTTGTAAGAGATTAATAGCAGCAATAACGAAATGGAATAAATAAAACAACAGTAGTTACAGCTTATGAGTTACTTATTTTATGACTTTTGTTTTTCGTTTGTTTTGTTTTGTTTTTCAAGACAGGGTTTCTCTGCATTGCTTTGGAGCCTGTCCTGGAACTTGGTCTGTAGACAAGGCTGGTCTTGAACTCACAGAAATCCACCTGCCTCTGCCTCCCAAGTGCTGGGACTAAAGACATGTGCCACCAGGACCTCGCTTATTTTATGTCTTTTCTATTTGCTACCTTTAGACAAATACTGACTGCAAGTAACTGAAACAGAGGAAGTGATTAAGGTTACCTGGTTAAACAGTGGTCCACACGTATGAGTTTTTGTGTTGCTAGTAAGAAAAAGTGTCCAGTACAAAAAAAAAATTCTTTAAACATTCACTGTTGAATGCTGTAATTACATTATAAGCTCAAAAACTATTTAAGTTTACAGGTCTGAAGTATATTCTTCATTTAGAAAACACCTATGCTACTGGATGAGGGTGTATAAAAGACTGCAGATAGAACCCTGTCTGTCGCTGTGCACAAAACACAAGTCCAAATGGATCAAAGACCTCAACATAAATCCAGCCACACTGAACCTCTTAGAAGAGAAAGTGGGAGGTACCCTTGAACAAATTGGTATAGGAGACTGTTTCCTGAACATAACTCAGGAACATAGCACAGACACTGGGATCAACAATTAATAAATGGGACCTCCTCAAACTGAGAAGCTTCTGTAAGGCAAAGGACACAGTGGACAAGACCAAACGGCAGCCCACAGACTGGGAAAAGATCTTCATCAACCCCACATCTGACAGAGGGCTGATCTCCAAAATATACAAAGAACTTAAGAAACTAGTCACCAAAACACCAAACAACCCTATTAAAAAAGAGGGTACAGAACTGAAGGAAGAATTCTCAATAGAGGAAATCAAAAAAGGCTGAAAGACACTTAAGTGCTCAACATTCTTAGCTATCAAGGAAATGCAAATCAAAACAACTCTGAGAAGAAACGTGACAGGTGGCAACAGAACAATACACAAGCAATGCAAACCCTTAGCTGCAACATGTAAAAAATCTCTATGGACTTTCCAGCATTTCAGGAGGGCTACTTCCTCCTGCCAGAATGGCTAAAATCAGAAACATCAATGACAACTTATGCTGGAGAGGTTGTGGAGAAAGGGGAACACTCCTCCACTGCTGGTGGGAGTGCAAACTTGTACAGCCATTTTGGAGATCAATATGGCAGTTCCTCAGGAAAATGGGAATCAGTCTACCACAGGACCCGGCAATCCCCCTCTTAGATATATACCCAAAAGTTTCATATCCATGCAACAAAGACATCCGTTCAACTATGTGCATAGCAGCATTATTTATAATAGAAAGAACCTGGAAGCAACCTAGATGCCCCTCAAGTGAAGAATGGATAATGAAGATGTGGCACATCTACACAATGGAATACTACTCTGTGGGGGGGAAAACAATGGAATCTTGAATTGCACAGGCAAATGGATGGAACTTGAAGAAACCATCCTGAATGAGGTAATCCAGTCACAAAAAGAGGAATATAGATTTTAGACATAGAGCAAAGGACCACCAGCCTATAATTCACACTGCCAGAGAAACTAGGATACAAGGAGGAACCTAAGAGATTCATACACAGTCCCTCACAGAACGGGAAGGGAACAAGATCTCCTGAACATATGGGGAGGGGGGGCAGTGAGTGGAGAGGGAGCTAGGAGAAAGAGAAGGGGAGGAGAGGAAAGCACATGGGACTAGGAAGATTGAGTCAGGGGAGGAATAGATGATAGACCAGAGAGAGGGGGGGAGGGGAGAGAGAGAGAGGGAGAGAGAGAGAGAGAGAGAGAGAGAGAGAGAGAGAGAATAAAAAAGGAACCATTATAGGTTTGAAGAGAAAACTGACTCTAGAGAAACAATTTGAGAAACAGTGGAAAGGCTACCATAAAGAGCCCTCATCTAGTAGCTGATGGAAACAAAAGCAGACACCCACAACTAAACACTGAGCCAAACTGTAATATAGATGCAGAGAGGGAGGACAAGGCCAGGCTACAGAAACCCACAGAGACAGCTGACCTGAACAAGGAGGAGCTAATGGGCCCCCAGACTGATAGCTGGGAATCCAGCATGGGACAGACTAAGATCCCTGAATATGGGTCTCAGTTAGGAGGCCTGGGCAGTATAAGGGACCTCTGATAGTGGAACCAGGATGTATGCCTGGTGCACAAAAGGACTTTGGGAGCACATTCCCCATGGAGGGATACTCCCTTGGCCTAGAGGCAGGAGGGAGGGCCTAGTCCCAATTTCAAATGACTTGAAAGATTTTGTTGACCCCTCCTGGACGGCATCACCCTCCCTGTAGAAGGGGGTGGGGTGGGATGGGAGTGCAGTCGGGGCATGGGAAGGAGGCAGAAAGGGAGGAAAGGAAAGGGAACTGGGATCAATATGTAAAATAAGAAAAAATAATAAAAAAAAGAAAACACCTATGCTATATGATGCATATTGGTAGCTCCTTTTTATATAAAGATATACAATTGTCTTTATATGGAACAATATATTGGCATAATTTTCCAATAAAATACAGTTAAAATATTACATTATTGCTGGAAAAATCATTAAATCCAACCCAGTAAAGAGATTCTGTCATATATAACAGCCTCAAGACCCTGCCGGCCAAGACAAAGGGTGCATTTATGTCTAGAGTGCTAACACGCTGCAATGGGAAACAACGAAGAGACTCTTGGTGGATTCTCTCATTGGGAGTTATCATCATCACTTTGTCACAGCCGGCTTACATGTGTAAACACAGTACTTGAGAGCACAGTCCTGACAGTGTATGCTTTATTCTCCTTCCTCAGGGATAGAGATAGTATTCGCTGACTTGGTCTCTACACTATATACAGGACCCAAAGAAGCTGAGGTTTATTGAAAGGAAAACATTTTTTTTTCTAGGAAAATCCTTAAAGAGTTCAAAAACAGGTAAAACTGGACAGCTAAAGGATTACACTCCAATAGGGATGTCCACAGTCCCAGTGGTACTGGAGGTTCATGTAGCAACCACCAGCTACAGTGATTGGTTCAAAGGGAAGGATTTGGTCTAGGCTAGCTGAAGGAGGGAAATCCAGCCTTTCTTCTAAGAATCATGAATCAGAAGTTGTTCATTCTTTCTTCAGATGTCAGCACTGATTGTACTGTCCCGGCTTAATAAGAGTGTAAAAATTCCTCTAGTTGAAAGAAATACCTTGAGAAGGAATAACCCTGAGACAGAAGGATGATAGGAAATGGAGACATTACTGACAGTAATAATGAACCAATAAGCATTGTTGAAGCCAGCCCCCCCCCGCCCTCAAGCTGTTCTGTTACAGAAGTCAGTATGTTTCCATCATTGCTCGGGCAGAAGATACCCACTAGACATGGGAAAGCCACAGACTCCTGAGCTATGATGGGGAAAGCATTTGCTATATACAAGCTTACAATTCTTTCATTGATTTGGGACAGTGAATTGTGCTGCCCAGGCTGGCCTCAGACTTGAGGCAATCCTCCTTCCTTCCTCAGCCTCCCAAGTGTTAGGATTCCAGGTATGAGCTATAATACTCAACTTCTAAATGTTCATTTAAAAAACAAATGAACAACAACAAACAACAACTAAAATCTAATTAGAAATAACCTAAGAGAATTATTCAAATTGGCAACAATAATTCACAAAACAACAATATTTTCTAAATAACTGTCTCAATGGGAGAATTATCTCAGGTTTCTTTTGCGTTTACTCAAGTAGTTACTTACCTGGAAGTGCACTGTGTCTGTATTCCATCTTGTGCTGGGGGTTCTTCCTGAAAAAGGAAAGGAGGTAAAAAATAGAGTTCTCCAAAGACTGAAAAGTGCTGTGAAAAGTCGAGCGCTCAGTAACCCACTAATAAAGTGTGGACCCTGGAAACATCTTATGGAAGGATTTGTCCCCTAGCCCCTGCCCCTCCTTCCCTTCTTTCCCCCCCTCCTCTTCCTCCATCACCATCATCATCGCCAGCTGCTCAATATCAGGCATGTGATACTCTGCCCAGCTACAGTATTGCCTTTCGCTACAGTATTTACTGAGTGTGCATCCCATGCCAGGGTTAGTTCTTTGAAACCCAAGCAAACACAGTACAGAGAGAGGGCAAACAAATGAATGAACTGGATTTCAGAGCTTCATAATAATCAGATTATTAAATCTTCCACTTACAAATTATAGCACTATATAAAAAATGTTCTTTTTCATCAGCTAAAACCTGTACACTTTGTTTAAAATGTTTCCTAATAATATCACACCTTTAAAGTACTATGTTTTTTCTCTTCTGTACCTCTGAAACTACTAAATAAAACAAATCATTTCTGATTATATGGAACCATCTGATTTATAGACAGTTGTTTCCTGGTTTTTAGCATTACCTAATATTTTATATTTGCTCCAAGCATTTTCCTAGGAGCATTGTCATTATAAAATTATAAAATTCGAAGTCATTACAAAAACACAACTTTAAATTAAGTAATGAGATTTAGAAAATACGTCATTGTATGTAAGTTGTAATGAGTTTTATTTGATTTTAGGTAACTTAGTTAAATTATAGCTAACTTGACTAGCATATTGAACAACACAAATAAAAAACAAACAAACATGGTAGAGCTCCCTGCCCACTGAAGAACAATAAAAAATTGATTTTAGAAACTCCCACCATAAGATATCCTCTATGGACTCAAGAAAAGTAAAAAACTCTATAGATGGGAATGTCACTATTAAAAGGAGGATTGGGATTAACACGAGGAACACCTGATCAGAATCCTGGCCCAAACACCCTCTGGCAAGCTAAGCTTCAGTTTCCCTGTCTGAAGAAGGGCCAACGACAGCCCACACACAGATGAGACTGCAGTGTGGTAGATGGAGGGGCAATGTCAGTATCCGTTCCAAAATCACTCAGACTATTTCTGCAGGCCAGTCTTGTGCCAGGTGTCTGTGGCATTTCTTGATGCTAATATCTCTTTTTTCACAACTTTTCCTGTGGGTGAGCATTAAACAGTGCAAGAGGAAACTATGCAGCTAATTAGGTCATAACTCAGCAGGGCTGGAAATGAGTCTATAGAAGACCTCATGGTTGGGGTAATTAACCTAAACCTGACCTTCTGCTGGATGGAAACTTTAAGCTCGAGAAAAAATTAACAAGACAGCTGACGTGCTCCAGGGAGCTGCACCCAGAAAAGCTGCAGCAAGCCTTCCCTGATGAACACGCTGGTGCAAGTGACTGGCTTGTAAACTCTTTTCTCATTGAAGGAACAGTCAGTGCTGAGCACTGGGGAAGGAGGGACAGGAAGAGGAAGTGACACCAGACAGCTTACTCCTTCATCCAGGAGAAAGACTACTGCACAGCTGAAGATTTTATTAGTTTTTATTTAAAACTTTTCAAACCTACAAAAATGAAAGAACAGGCCACTAACAAATGTTCCTTCCTCTCCTCTTCCCTCCCTTACCTTCCCTTTCTGTCTCCTGCCTTCTTCCCTCTTCCTCCCTCCCTCCTTCCCTCTTCCTTCTTCTTTAGAAGTGCTGGGGATCAAACCCAGGAACTTGAGCATGCCAGACAAGTATTCTAACCACTGAACTAGAACCCAGCTGATAAGTATCATTTTCTTCATGGCTCACTTATCATTTTATTATTATCTGGAGGCACCTGAAACTTGAAGTGTTTTGTTTTGTTTTTCCTGTGAATATGTTTGTTTCAGGCACCAAGCAGTCTTTTTTACCCTTAATAATAGTTGTACAAGATCATTGAAAAGTTAAATATGGTCTTAGCTGTTTATTACTGGAGTGTCTTTCAAAGTCTGGTTTAGAAATTTTAACTAAATGTTGGGCTTTAAAAACAAGTGAAGGAACTGAACCAAAGCTGAAGGCTGGCCGATGTGGGCTGGCAGGCTGAGAAGAACAAGCCTATAACTTCCAAAGGGGAGAGGAAAATGGGGTGCAGGGACCAGCACTGTGGCTCCACAATCATTCCTGCATCTAGTCACCTCCCCCACCCTCCCCTCCCTGGGCCTCTCTATTTGATGGCACTGATGGAAAGCAGCTTCCATTTCCTCTTTGACTTGTCTATCTTCACAGGGTTCTGTGCAGTTAGGGCTCACACTCCTTCCCTGGTCAACCCTCAGTGGTTCAGCACTGATTGCTCTAGTGGGTTCCTGGAGACAGGACAGGAACCCTCCAATGCCTCCACCCCCCTCCCCAATCACTGTGACAGGAGACAGCTTCCCCAGCACCTGCATGGGCTCCACGACCCATGTCTGGCTAAACGGAACCCACTCGATATTGAGTCCACTGTGATCCATGGATAACATCGTGCTAACTGAGGAAACACTTTCAACTCTCTCGTTCTTACAATGTGTGACATCTCAGAGCAATAAGGCAAATGAAGAAAAGGGATGCATATGGGGGGAAGAAATCAAACTACCCCTTTTTGTAAGTGATATGGTCCCCTCTCTAAGAGACCCTACACCTCCACTAGAGGACTGACAGTGGAAAGTTTCAGCAAAGTATCAGGATATAAAATCATCAGCAGCTTTTCTACACACCAAAAGTGAATCTGCAGAAAAGAAGTCTGCAAAGTAACCTATTCACAGCAGCTGTAAAAGAGCCTTCACATCACCAATGTGGGAGAGGCGGACAGTTCTCACTTCCAGGACCATTTGCATAGCTTTTCCAGGGAGGAAAAACTTAAGTTCTTAAGACAGAAAAGGCTGACAGGATTAAAGAAAAAAGACAAACATATGAGTTAAGATATTTTAAAATTCAGAAGAATTTTTGTTACTGAGTTCTCTCAGTAACAAAAACAGAATAAAATCAGTGAGGATATAGACAATCAGAATAATACCAAAACACTTGGTATCAAATCAACACACAGAAAATAGCTTGGAGCATTTACAGAATGCAAACTTCAAGTGCCCTGATATGTTCAAAACAACAGGCCATGTGCAACAATTTACAGTGGCCAGTAATATGTACCCAAAGTTATCTAAAAAACAAACAAAATATTCGTCTGTGTTAAACCTCTTCAGGCCTGAGATTACTTTCTTTTTTAGTTTGATTAAACACAAATCTATTCACTCATTAAACAAGGTTACAAAATACCAAGAATTCTTTCTGTCAATGTGATATGCTTACTGCCTCATTGGAGAGAGACCGTAGTATGGAGAGGTCTACTCTGCCTGATAGAAGGGAGGACATGCAGAGAGGAGGATCTGCCTGACCTAGGGGAGGGCATTGGGAGCCATTGTCATAACAAGCACATAGCAATTAACATTTAAGATGTTAACCCACCAGGAAGAAATTCTCTGATGGGAGATCCTGTTAAGCAAGACTACAAAGTTACAGACTCTGAAATATCTTTTGCTTCTGTGTATAATTTCACACGTGCTATTGCAATTTTTCTCTAGCAGCTATGGGGAATCCCCCATTGCCTGTATCTAGTGTGTGTGTATCTTGTGTATGGCCTGATCTTCTGGGCATTTTTATCTGTGGATTCTCAAGAATTGACTCCTCCTGATGCTGTGTCTGGTTGATACCAATAATGTTAACTTATACAGTTTTGATGAATAAAAATGAATTCAAAGAGATGTTACTGAAGTCAGGGCTTGTAAGTTCCCCCTTAAAAGCTGTCTTGGATTACAGCTTAGCCTGACACTAAGAAAACAGCTGTATTTCCCCAACTGCCAAGATAGATGATTAAAACTTCAACGTAGCTTTAGATCAGACCAGGTGCCTTGCGAATGGTCTTTAAAAGAAACTATCCCCCAGAAAAAAAGCAGCCCAAAGACATACAAGCTGCTTGATCTGTTGAACCAAGAAAGCAACCTAAGTGCTGTCTCCTTCCTAGGTCTGGCTGATAACCTAGAACAATGATTAACTCTCTGCACAAATTCCTAACCTCAGTTTTATGGACATGCAAAGGAGAGGCTCTGTCTGATACAGGGGAGGAGGACAGTGGGGACATGTTTTCAGCTGCCACGGAGTTCTGGGCATTAGGTAGAGGGGTGGATTATGGGGAGTTGAGGAAGCCGACAGAAACGGAGATAACATCCCCAATCCACTTGCATATCACATTTCAGTGTCTTCATAGAGTGGGATGTCTTACAAGTTAATCTGATTGTATTTTACACAAAAATACAGAAAAACTTCAGGTACTTATAAGATTTAGAATTATCTGAAAGAAAATATGTCTTCTACATAAATGTAATGTAAACTATGATACAGATTTAAGATGGGGAGCTGCTCAAGTCACTTAATTTCATCTGGCTAGGAAGAGTGCAGCCACATGGCTCAGTTTCCTTACCTGTAACAAGATGCCCCATAAGGACACTCAGGCCTGTCACCAGTCACACCTTCATCTGTGACTTGTATGTCTCCATAATCACTGTCTCCAGGGTGGCTGAAGTGTTGAAAATGCAGAGGATTCTTCCTGTGAGGATCATAAACATACCATCAGAAGAAAAAATAATAGGAAGTTATAGGTTTATAGTGACCTATGTTGATGATATCAATACAGATGACATCCCCATGCCATGCTGTTGACCAACCTGACATAACTGTTGGAAACAGTCCAGAAATGGGGTTGTGTGCAGAGAATTCTGGGTGCTTATGAGAAACCTCCAAGGAAACAAGAGTCCTGTGACCTCAGTTTCTTTAAAACACATGATTGTTCTTGTAATGTGTTTTCATGCTCCTCCCAGGTGTCGCAGATAGGAGTGAGTTTACCTCAAATTATTCATTGCTTGCTGCTGTTATTTCAATTAGATGTTTAAACTATCCTTTATATGGCACTGTGGAAAAACTTGTTTCCGTTGTGGCCTGACCTTGTAATTGTATACAGCTTGAACTCAGGAGAACTTTACTCATGTAACCTTTCTTAACCCTCAGAGTATAAACTGTCCAGGAATCTGAATAAAGTTGGCTATTGATGTGACTACAGTCCACTTCATTTATCCTCTCTATTCTCACATGTCCCACGGCCTCAAGTGAGGTGACATCTAGTCAGCACAGGACTCCCAGGGAAACGATCTAGTACCATAAGACAACTCATGTGTACAAAAAGATGATTTGTAAACATTATCTCTTTCATGTAGGTATGCAACAAATATAAGCATCCATAACCTTTGAAGATTTCTGTATCCTATGCTAAGAACATTCTAGAAAGACCCATGTTTCCGTTCTAATCATTATGTCTTCTAAAAGCATTTTCAAACTCTTTTATTCTTAAAACTTATTATTATTAGAGTTTAAGAGCCATTTCTTTATGTGGTGGGTTTACCCTGTGAGATATTTATAGTAGGAAATCAGAAATGTACATTTATTTAAGATAATAGTAATATACATTTGCACATATTACAAATAACATGCTTTAAGAGCTTTTAAAAACCCCACTTCTGCATTTGTGTGTGTGTGTGTGTGTGTGTGTGTGTGTGTGTGTGTGTGTGTGTGTGTGTTTAAGCCATGGCACACATGTGGAGAAAGGAAGACAACTTGTGGATGCTGTGGAAAGATCCTTCTGTATACTATGAAAATGTGTTGTTCTCATTGTTAATAAAAAGCTGACTGGCCGATAACCAGGCAGGATTTTCAGGGCAGAGAGGATGCTGGGAAGAAGGATAGAGGGTGTGAGTATGTGGGTTTATCTTAAACTCAATATGCATTCTTCCCCCTTCTTTATAAATTAAACATTCAATAAAAATTACTTCCTCCTCTTTGTTACAAATATAAATATTTTGATTTAAACTTTTTCAGACATTCTTTATTTCAAAATTAATAAAAAATTAGTTGCTTCCTAAAGCTAAGAATGATTAAAACTATCATCATTATACAGTATAAGTGAATGAATTATTTTTGATGAAACATTTACTCCTTTTAATGAAAGGAAATGACAGTGTTGAGTACTGTTATTCACTGATCTCCACGTATGAGAGATATAATTAAGGCTAACTGACGTCATCAAGTTGGGGCCCTGAGGAAGGGACACTGGGAAAATGACATACAGAGGAAAAGCACAGAAGAAAAACCACCACCTTCAAGGCAAGAAGAGAAGCCATGATTGCAGACCAGGCTTGCAAACCCTGGAGTCTGGCATTTCTAATGTCAGGCTGAAGGAAGGTAAATCCTGTTACTAAAGCAAAGCCAGCCTATGGTATTGGGTTATGGCACCTTAGCCAATTAACATAAACACAAAAGAGAGACTTTCAAAAGCCAAAGTAAAGATTTACAATGTCATGTATAAATTTAAAACTCAGAACTGTCAAAACTGAAAAATGTAGTTACTCTAATGCTTTTAAAAAGAAATAATGAGTGTGAAATGAACAGAGTATGTAGTGTACGTAACCTGTGCACACAGCACAGGGGTGCACTGCACAGGTACAGCTTGACAAGCGGGACAGCAAACAATGGAAGCAGACTGGTTAGCACACACTGCTATAAACACATGGTCTAAAACTAAGATTGCCATTTAAATGCATGAAAATATGAATTCATAAAAATTCCATTTTCATAATTTTCAAAATGTGAAAATACATATAACACAATGCCTAAACACAATCTAAAATTATCCTAATGGACTATTTCTAAAAGTATCTCTTTAAACTTAAGACATTAGATAAGCCGGTATTTAAGTCTGTGTGATTCAGTTTTTAAGTCTGCATTCCCTAGTATTCAGGCCCTTGCATTAGTCAGCATGTCTACACATAAAACATTTAATTCCCCATTACATCTTAAAAGCTTCTGGCAAGATTTACCAGAATGCATAGTGGGCAATGCAGTGAAACATCTAACCTTAAGGCAATAGTTTACTGGGCTCTTAACACACACACACACACACAGAATCGCATGGCAGCACCTAGTAAAGCACCGGGCTAAAATGCTACCTGTAGGCCCATCTTACCTGTAGCATTTAGCCCCATACATGCAGGACACCCTCCGGACCTTGCTTTCTTCTGAAGAGCCTAGAACTGAATCAGCCACTGTGTGTGAAGAAGCATCAGGGCTGGAGGGACCAGAGCTGGACTCGGGATAGAATCCTTTCGATGTCTCAGGGAGTGACTTACTTTGGATGCTTGAATGACTCTCAGGATGCCTCACTGTCTCACCATCTTTGTTTGCTGTTGCTTTGTTGACAGTTTTGTATTTAGAGACCTCACCAAGTTCCTCTATTGGAACTGCATTGCTCAGTTCATTTGTCTTCACAGTATCTGTATCTGTGCCACTTAATGTGATTGAAGACAATGATTCTGGAACTTCCTGTAAAAGAAATCCAGAAAATGCATCATTTAAATATATATATATTATATATATATATTATTATATATATTATTATATTATATTAAAGCTTAAGAGGACAAAAATACAAGTTTCATGATACAATGATACAAAAAGCTTAAACTTCAAGCTTCTTATTTTGAAGATACTAAAGACACAGTTTGGAAACTTTTAACAATTTGTAGTTCTTACAATATCAATTTATAGGTTATTTCATTGTCACATAATCTAATTCAAAAAGCTCTTAAATGTCACTGTCCAATGACACTGTCCTTGTGATTTCTTAAAAATGAGTGTGCCACTTACTTTTCTCTAAATAATGGTACTTTTCACATGGCAGAGTGACCAAGCTGCTTCATGTCTACAGGTCAATCTGCATGAGGGATGCTATGATAGATCGGAGAAAGGAAGCAGCTTCCCTTTGAGACACTCTGATAAGTGTCAGGTTAGGCAATTAAGACCTAGGGAGCCAACTACTGCCATCTTGTTAAATGGATAAAACAGACAACTGCCCTCTGAGACTGACTTCTTACAAATGGCTGCAGTTTCACCCTCGTCAAAGGGTCCTCTTTTCACAGAGAACTACAACTAAGTGAGGAGAGTATGTGACTGCGGAGAGCACGACCTTACGTGGGATCTGTACCACACAGTCCCTGCACCAGGAGTCACAGAACACCGCACCAACACACAGGAAACACACACCAAGGCACAGGGAATGCTGCACCAAGAAGACACTGTAATCACCACTGCATTCCTTTTAATTTGTTCTGGCTGCCACCATAAACAGTAAGCCTCATCTTGAAAACCAATCACTTAAGTACTCCTCTTTCTGTAGAGTAGAAACATTGCTCATTTAAACACAAGTGTCCTTTAACCAAGTCACAGATATGAGGAGCACACACCTGACACACACAAATGTAAGGGTTCAGGTCTGTTGGCTGCTATCTGGCAAAAGTTGATTTCAGTACTAATAGATGTGGGTCTTATCACAGCTCTACACAGCAGAAGATAATCTAGGGAAAACAGTTACTTGGCTTTCTCTTGTTACTTACACTTGGAAGGTGGCATTTATGCTACATCCCTCTACACCAGACACTCTACTTCCAAGCTTCTCTATCACACCCCAACCCCATCCCCTTCTGCTCAGGACCAATTGGCACAGGCCAACAACTGGAACTCAGGGACAGGAGCTGAGAAGTCCTGATTTACCAGCCCACTTGACATCTCTTCCCAGTTTCCTTCATTCCTGCTCAGCAGAGGGTGAGCCAGATAAGTTTTCTAGCTGAGCAATGGCCAAAATGTATTATAATAGTGTTCCTGTATCATTTTTAGGCTGCACAAGTCATTTTCTATCCTTAGACAGGAGGATAAGACCCCTCAGAAGCATTTCACGTGCCTAGGCCTTAGGAGTTCCCAGTTTCTCGGTATCTTTGTACAAAGCCTGGAGGTGAAGAGTAGATGATGCTCAGGCCTTTCAACAAGCCCCACAGGAAAAGGTGATTCTCACTAACTGTTAGCTAGGGTTCCCACCAAATCTGGATCTCCATAGTACTGCTGTTCCAGCGTCCAGCCACACCATAATTTGGGGGAAACAACCCCACTCAACTTCTTAGCCAATTTATTTCAGAACAAAGAGATACACTGGAGAGTGATAAAATAAATTAGAATACATCTTTTCTATAAAATATTGTAAAGATGTTGAACTAAGGACTGCTTTTAAAAGGAGGTTTTGTTTATGTATTTGTAGGGGGTGGTGTATGCACACCCACATACACACATGCAGAAGCAACAGCAAGCTATCAGATTCATTTCTCTCTTAGTCTTCACACTAGTAGCTGAAAACAGGATCTCTGGGCCCAAAACCCACCGTTGAGGCTAGGCTGGCTAGCCAGAGAACTCTCCGGATCTGCCTGACTCCTCCCTCCAATGTTGGGATCACAGGCAAGTGAAGCTGTGCCTGGCTTTTCTTGTGAATACTGGAGGCATGAACTTTGGTGCTTTCAGAGTAACCATTCTTACCCACGGAGGCATCTTCCTCCTAGCCTTCTAAGGATGTTTTTAACTAAAGAACAATAAGACATATGATAGCATTTAATGTTTTAAGTAATCTCTCACACCACTCCCATCAAAGATTTTGTGGCAGATAATGACTATTCCATAAATCCACCATCAGTCAACACCCAGAGAACAAGTGACAATGGAGTGCCTACACCCAACTCCTATGCCAAAGGCTCAGGGTAAGACATGGAAGAGGAGGCAAAAAGGTTTTAAGAGCTAGAGGACCACAACAGCTGCTGTAAGACAATGTCTTCTAGACAAAACAGGGAGGATGTACACATCAACAATATGATCTAAGTGAGACCTGTATAATGAGAACACCATTTGATATGACAACACAGATGAAAGAAATTTAACAAGACAACACCCCTAGATTAAGAGCTACTAACAATCAACTCCCACTGAGAGAGGGAGATTCTGTTTGCCCTCTGGTAGGTCAACCAATTCCAAAGGGGAAGTCTTAAACATATGCACACATAAGCAACAGGAGGTGGATTCAGTGGGGGGGGGGGGTGCACAAGGCGTTTAATGGAGATAATTAGGAGAAGGGAGGGTCATAAATTTAAATGGGAGTGGGGAAAGGGGTAGAAATAATGTAAATACATACTCAAGTATGAAACTCTCAAAAATTTTAAATTAAAAGAATCCTCATAGCCAAGTGCAGTCACATATACCTGCCATCACAGTACTTGGGAGGTTGTAGCAGAAGGATCAGATTATGAGCCAAGTTGAGTTACAGAAAGACCATGTCTGAAACAAATACATCTTTATATATGCATGTGTATGTATCTTCCTGTATAAATCCAGATGAAGATTTTATAGTGCTACAAAAATCAGTACAATGATGGGACTGAAGGATGAGACAAAATTCAATTTTAATAAATATGCCTCTGGAAATCCTATTTTGGCAATAAGCAATAAGAGAATGAAATCTATAACATCATAGTTCAATCCTCTGTAGTACTAAGAAACATAAAGAAGAATCTGTTTACTAGAAACTAAACTTTAGTTCCTTACAAGAACATGTATAATATTCTGATTTAGAGAGAAAGGAACTTTAGCATCACAGATGTCTATACTGTGAATTAGGGGACTTCAGATGAGAGAGATAGCGGGGCATGGTGGTATAGACCTTTAACCCAGCACTCAGGAGGTAGAGGCAAGAGGATCTCTTTGAGTTCAAGACCAGCCTGGTCTACACTGTGAGTTACAGGACAGCTAGGGCTATGTAGAAACCTGAGACATGCCCCCCAAAATCAAATGAGATACCAAAGTTGGAAATCATAATGCTCTTTATGGAACTCCATGCAATATTAATATATAGTAGCCTTGGCATTCAAAAATTTAACATTCTTGGTTTCAATTATTTATAAATGATCCCAAAATCCATTACACATGCAATAATTTTTAAGTTTGCTGATACATAAATTTGAACTGTGCCAATTCCAAAGCTCATGGGCTTAAGCAAGACAGTACCTGGGGTGGGGATGGGGAAGTAAGGGAACAGGAAAAGTGGAAGGTGTACCCATGGCAAGACAGAGAATGAGAGCTTCAGTTTTACTAAGCATCTCCCACTGCTTACTAAGATTTGATGGACACGTGAAGGATTAAGCATCGGTGGTTAGAGAGTAATGATAACAGTAGAGAGGTCATCTACAAAGTAAAAATACTATGTTTGAGACTGGAGTTCATGGGGCTAGTGGTCCTCTGAGAAAGATCAGAACACACTCTTAAGACTACTAAAACAGCCTATCAACTTGTCTAGTGAGCACTCCCTGCCCCTCAGCCACCTGAGCATTGATGTATTGAGAAGGGTAGGATAAAGAACTGCCCTCTAACATAAATCCAGTAGGGTGATTTGTTGTTTCCAAGATGCTCTTGGCAGGATGTCTGTGCTGATAAAGTTGCCTAAAAGTCCTGTATCAATTCCATTAACATTCCTGGGAGAATAATGGAAAAATCCCAGCCCCATACCCAAGCACGAGCTAAATATTGCTTCCTGGGAAGTCCATCCACTGAAACTGAAAACATAACAACTAAACTCCTACCTGTGTGTTCTCTACCATAATTTTTCCCAACACGTTATCTGTCCATCCCAGCTGGGAACATGGAACCTGTCTTTTATTCCCTGTCCTTTCCCCAGATCCAGTGTGCAGACACTGAGCACTGAAGTTCTACATCCTAAATGCTTCTCAAATCAGATGCCTCATTGTCCTTAAGTGGCTCAAAGTCTCCGCATTCCTTAATCATGCCAACATGACCATCATTTCCGTCCCTTCTCTCAGAGATCCTACTTTGTCTCTTCCAATCTCTCTCTCTAGAGACCTAAAAGAACCTCAGTGGTCAATACCTTTTTCAGCCCCTCCTCCTGTGGGATCTACTGCTGACTTCAATTTTAAATGAATGCCCTTCCTTGTATCCAGATTTCTAAGGAGAAGAGTTGACTGACTGTCCCTTACTCAAAAGGCTTAGGACCAGAAATGCTTATGGTTTCTGAGTTTTTGGAGTATTTTGTCAAGATTTACAGTTGAGCATCAATATCTGAAACTATCCAAAGCCCCAGCGAGTTGAGAATCTTGTCAGGATACAAACAGTTTCAGACATTGAGACATTTTAATTTTTTTTTTTTTTTTAACTTTTGGATTAGGGATTCTCGAGATGTATTTGTTCTCCCTTGCTTTCATCCTTAGCCTATCATCTACTTGGGACCTTATAACTTTCTATGACTAAAAAGTGCAATAGAAACGACCAGGTCTAGTCCTGGGCATCTTGGAATCCAGCTGTCAGGTAAAGGTATTTAGTCTTGACTAGCTAATGGTAAATGGAGGGAGGGAGGTTCAGTCAGCTACCAGATATCCCATCAACCCTTGCAGGGACCCCATTCATGACAGCAAAACCGCTTAGGATGAACCCACCACTACTAATAACAAAAATGTATCATAAAACAGGTGTCCAACCAAGCCCAGCCAACTCATAGGATCTGTATGAAATATAAGTCATTACTGTGCTAAGTGACTAGGTGTGGCTTGCTTTGATCACAGCACGAGATAACTAATAATTTTATGACAGTGTTTTGAAGAAGTTGTTTTGGTTGTGCTTCCTTTTGCTGCTTGTGGTGGTTCTAATTAGAATGTGTAAAAGAAGTTCTATTGTCTTAATCTCCGTGCTACTGGAACAGAACAGCCCAGGTCATTTATAATGACAATGCATTCTCTCTCAGTTTTGAGTTCTGGGGAGACCACTGTAAGGTGCTGGCATCTGAAGTGGAATTTCCTATTCTGTCCTCATAGGGCAGAAGGGAAGGGAGGACAAACGTTTCTGACGCGACAGAGGCACAGCAGGATGTGCACTTGTGTCCTCTTGTGACAGAAAGGCAAAAAGAGTAAACGAGCTCCTGTGGACTTTTCCAGCAATTTCAGTCTACTCATGAGTGTGGAACCTACTGAGCAAGTGCCTGCTAACACTACTGCACAGGAAGAGTAAGCTTCAAAATGAGTTTAGAGGACACAAAACATCCAAAGCACAGCAGTGACCTTTTCACTGATTCAAGAATCCTCACTTTGGCTATAAGCTGGACAGACACATAACCTGTAAGGACAGCAGAAGACCCATAAGGACTGACAAAATCCTGGACTATAAAAGAACAATTAACTTCATGAAGAAAAGAGTGGTAGTCACAAAACTCGCTCATAGTGATTTCTTTTTAAATATCCAACATCAAGAAATGTCAGCTCTGCCGAACTATTCTAGAGGATTGGTACAAACTGAAAGAGGGTAAAAGGTCTGCAGTCACTCTAAGAGGCACAGCAGAGTGATCCTGTGGCTCTGTGAGGACCCATCCACCACTAGTTCTCTTTGCTGTAATCACAGTGGTCACATCAGTCCACATATGACAGCAACCAGGCGTTCAGAACAAAGGACAAACTATGACCAGAGCCAAGAGGTCTCCACCTTTCTACTCTGAAATATTACCCTACAATGCAAAGCCTCCCTCTATATTAAAAATTAGTTTCAATAAAGAAAAAACCAGGGGGGCTCAGCAGTTAAGAATACTGACTGCTCTTCCAGAGGATCCAGGTTCAATTCCCAGCACCCACATGGCAGCTTACAAGTATCTGTAACTCTGTAACTCCAGTTCCTGGAAATCTGGCATCCTTTTTAAAAAAAAAAAAAAAAAGATAGATAGATAGATAAAGAGAGAGCAAGTTTATATCTATATAAGTGCAAAACGGGGGCAGCTTAGTTTGATAAATTGAGCACATGATTTATTTCTATCACTTCGTATGCAAAGGGATGAAAGGAAGCAATTCCTGTCTCAAATACCAGACAAAGAAAATAAACAACACATTTTTAATCACCTTGGATGAAACAACCAGTCCTTCTTGATCAGAACTTTTACATTTTTTCCCAGGGTCCTGTTCTGTTGACATACTTTCCAAATTTCCTAGTGAAATTAATCGCTTTCTTCCATGCTGTGTTATGTTCACTGGGGTTTTATCTTTGCAGGTTCCTTCTTTTCCACTCCTCTGAACAGCATCCTTATCTAACATACACACAAATACACACATACAAAGAACAAGGAGAAAATTAGTTCCTGAATCTTCAAAGGCCAATACTCTACATGACTAAACAGGATAACACAGCAAGTGACTCACAGGCTGAGATGGCTCAGTGGGTAAAACAATTTGTTATGCAAGCTTAAGGGCCTGAGTTTGAATATCCAGCACCAACACAAGAAAAAGAAAGAAAAGGTGGGGTAACTCTATGGGCCTGCAACCCCAGCACTTAGGTCAGGGACAAAGACAAAGATCATGTGGGAATGACACCAGCCAGAGGAGCCAAAAACCGGGGAGGGTCAGACTCGGAGAGAGACACTATTTTAAGGGATTATGGCACGGAGATGGCCCCCTGAAAGATCAAAATTACATTTACAGTAATGTCCACTGGGAAACACTCATTTACAAATCTCAAACAGCACTAAGCAGCACAGTGGCCAAGAACTCCAACCCCAGAGCACACCATGCTCAGACACACTGGGTCTACTTTAACTGAATCTTGTTTGCATCTGCAAAGTGGAATGTGGTGATATTTTGTTTATGATCTAACAAATAAAGCTTGCCTGAAGATCAGAGTGCAAAGCTAGCCATCTAGTTAGCCACAAAGGCCAGGCAGATGTGGTACACATCTTTAATCCCAGAAGCCACACTAGTTAGCTATAGAGGCTATGCAGTGGTGCTATGCACCTTTAATTCCAGCACTCAGGAGACAAAGGTAGATGGATCTCTGTTAGTTCAAGGCCACCCTCAGCTACAGACAATTGATCAGTCTAAAAAGAGAGCTCACAAGGGTGATCCCAAGCACTTGGATTGGCATGACTTTAATTCCAGCACTAGGGAGGTGGAGACAGGAGTGATGTGACCGGGTGGAGAGAGGAGTATGAGGTAGTCAGAGTGCACTCTGAGGTTTGGTGAAGACAAATTCAATATGAAGATTCATGGAGACAGGAGATAGAGGTAAGAGCTAGGGGCTGGCCACTTTGCTTCTCTGATCTTCAGCTTGAACCCCAATATATGTCTCCATGTTTTTATTATTCATGCTAAAGCAGAGGACTATCAGGTGTCTACTATGACTACTCAACTCTGCCTCATAACAAAGAGTAGCCATTAGATATAGACAGATGAGCATGGCTCATTACTCATTGAAATGGGCAATGCTCAGATCTGACCTATGGGCATCAGTCTCTCAGCCTAATTCTGAAGGACACCAAAGGTCCTAAAGCATTTCAGGGAATAAATGCCAATACAACACTGACTGCACAGAGTAAAGGAAACCCTTAGTGAATATGTGTTGTTGACATGAGTACAGCCAAGGTAAGGACTGCAATGTCTCAGCCCCATGGGAATGGAAAAGCCTTCCACAGGAGTCTGAGTGTGGATGTTGGTAATGTATACAGAAAACATCTACCATAGCTTTCTCCCTCTGGATATTTATGGCCTGAAGATGACTCCTACAGAGACAGCCCCTACAGAGATTAACAAAGCCTGCCTCCTTGTTCAGTTATGTGTTTAGCTATATGTTATAAACCTGCTTCCGGTTTAGCTGTATGCAATAATCCTGCCTCATTGCCCTGCTCAACTATATGCATGCTACTTACATAAATATTCAAACACACACACACACAGTAGGCATGATGAGCTTCAAGGGTGCTGCATTTTTTTCTATCAGAGAGCCCAGTCTACTCAATCCAAGATTTTTTGTGTTTCTTTGTGTCTATGTGTTTATATTTTCTTCATTTCTTCTCACCATCCCAATCAGGTTCATCCCTAAGGCTGTGCAAGCATTCAACAACTATGTATATTATCAGTAGAATATTAATCACACCAAAATAATAGTAATATACAGTAGTCACATTTTATCCATCACTTTCCCCTTTTCACTTAATATCAGTCATGGAAAGTTCCAGAAATAAAAAGTTCATCCATTTTAAATCACATGTTCTTCTGAGTAGTATGATGAAACCTACACTCTCCTGTCCCCTTTAAAAATATAAGTCTCTAGCATTATTCACACTAGTCTATTTTCCTTATCAGACCAACTGTTGGTTATAGTGCTTGTATTCAAGCAACCATTACTTTATTTAAAATTTTTCCAACGCACAAGAATAGTGACACTGGCAAATTTGCTACACATGGAATGGTTTTTTTGTTTGTTTGTTTGTTTTCGTTTTTGTTTTATTTATTCATTTATATACCAACCACATTTCCCCCAAGTAGTGATATTTTCTTTCTTTTTTTCTTTTTTTTTAAATGTTGATGGGTTTTTTATTTATTAAGTATACATCGTTCCTCCTGCATGCATCCCTGCAAGCCAGAAGAAGGCGCCAGATCTCATTATGGATGGTTGTGAGCCACCATGTGGGTGCTGGGAATTGAACTCAGGACCTCTGGAAGAACAGCCAGTGCTCTTAACCTCTGAGCCATCTCTCCAGGCCCAAATGGAATGTTTTGTAACATCTCAAAATCATTCGTGTGTGTGTGTGTGTGTGTGTGTGTGTGTGTGTGTGTGTGTGTGTGTGTGTGTGTGTGTGTGTGTGTGTGTAAGAGAGAGAGAGAGAGAAGGAGAGATAGAGGGACTAGAGAGAGTGAGGTGATATACAGAGAAGACAACTATGAGAGAGAGAGAGAGGTGATATACAGAGAAGACAACTATGAGAGAGAGAGAGAGAGAGAGAGAGAGAGAGAGAGAGAGAGAGAGAGAGAGAGGTGATATACAGAGAAGACAACTATCAGAAGCAACATGCTACCTACCTTCATGGATCCCTGACCTACAGAATTGTGACAAAGTTAAGGTCACTTAGGGCACCTAGGCTACAGTACTCTATTACAGTGGGCAGAAAACTAGGATAAAAAGAGTAATACTTCTCAATGCATTTTACCAGGCCAACAATTACATTAAACCTCCCCCCAAAATACTTCACACTAAAATAAAATTATACCTTTACTAAAATAATAGTTCAACACCACTTAAAACAATCATTTAAAAAAAAAACTGCAACTCCAGCACTCGGGGGACTGAGGCAGAGGCATAACATGTGCAAGATCATGTCTCAAAATTAATAAATAGAACAGAATTTAAAGTCCAGGCTAACCCATACCATGTACAACTACCACTCTATACCCATTTGCTCAGAAAACTTTTAAACTGTCTTTAAAGTTTCCTTGAAAGTCAACATTAACAAAAACAAAAACCTACCTCCACCCTGGACAGGTGATGAAAGGTTTTGATCACTTAAACTTTCTGCTAACATCCAAGCTGGGAGGACTCTTTTTCTCTGGGCGGGGTGTGGCTGGCGCTCACAGACATCTCCACATGCACCTGCCGAAGACTAAAACAGCATCCATAAACTAATTCCTAAAGGGGATGTGCATCCTGAGTGAATTTGTAAAATAATTTACTTTGAAGAAAATTACCATTAACAGAGCTACACACAACTGAAGACTCTGCTAGTTAAATTTCTGACATTACCTATTGTTTTGTGTCAGCCTAGTGTGACATTCTCTACAGACTTAAAAACAACAAAAGCAGATCAATGCTGCAGGCATTATAATATGTGTGGTTTCTGTTTTCTTCCTGTGAGGTGAAGGCCATGCTAGGAAGGTGCTTCTTAAGTTTCTCACCATGGGCTCTACGGCAGACCACTTGGCCTCGGTAACTGGGGGGCGTCCTTGCAGCTGTAAAGCACCAGGTGTCTCATCGGGTAAATTAATCACAGGGGACTTCTGCATCTTGCTCAACAAATCATCTTCAAGTATTTGACTGTTCCTATAAAATAAAACGGAATTTTGTTTTTTATCATTTACAACACTTCTGGTGGCAACCTTGAGGCTGTTCAGATCTACATTTAAGACTTCTCAATGGGGTATTGAGCTCCTTTGTCTAACTTAAAAAAATCTAAAAACACAGTTATACCACAGTAAAATGATTCTTTGTTTTTTTTTTTTGTTTTGTTTTGTTTTGTTTTGTTTTTAATCTCTGGCCACATACATCAGTCTTTAAAAATCATGGGCTGGGGCCAGAGAGATGGGTCAACAGTTAAGGACACTTGCTGTGGACCTAGGTTTAGATCCTAGTACCCACATGATGGCTCACAACCATCTGTTACTCCAGGTCCAATACCTTCTTCTGGCCTCAGTAATCAGAGATACATATATGGAGCACTTACACACATACATCCAGGCAAACACACACAGAAAATGAAAATAAATACACCTTTAAAACTGAAGAGATTTCAGAAATGTGTACTGAAGTCTGACTCATAGTTTTAGTAGCTTCAAAGTAAGGATCATTCAAAGGTAGACTTGAATTTCAATGCCAGGAAACATTATAAATGGCAGGAACTCTAGTCTATACCAAGATTATTCCATATTTGCTTACTAATTCAAAAGCTGATGGACATTTGGCTTGTTTACCCACTTGGACTATTATAAATGATGTTACTGTGAGCATCCATGTTTAAGTTTTTATGTGAAAATATAATTTCAATTTGGGAGCATAAACCTAACGAAGGAGTGCCAAGATACCCAGCTGGTTTTATTTTTTTAAAGTCTAAAAACTTATCAGAATATGGACATTCCAAGGAGAATGCATTGTTTCAGAACACCACAGAGTATATGAGAGTTCCAGTTTCTCCACATGTTAACATCTATCAATGTCTTTGGTTTTAGCTGCCTAGTAGCTTAATGAGCATTTTTTTTTTTCAAATTGTTAAAAGTATCTCATTATGGAGTTGACTTAAATTTCTCAGTGACCAATGATGCTATCTTTTCATGTTATTATTGGGAAATATTTATTCTAATCAGTTGCACATTTTAAAACTGGTTTAACCTTGGATTGCTGAGTTATAACTACTTATATAATCTAGATGCAAATATGCTATGGACATATATATAAAATGTACAAATTTTTGTCATTTATTTGTCCTTTTTGTTTCTTGGCTGTACTCTTATAAGCATACATGTTTTCAAACTGGAGCAAATCCAATTTCTCTAATGCTCCTGCCTTTGCTGTTGCTTTGATGTTAGAGTTGTGAAACCATTACCTGATCAGGTGGTAAAGATGTAAACCTCTGCTCTCCCTCTTCATATTTAGGTCTCTGATCCATTTTGATTTTTATGTGATATACAGTGAAAGTCTAACTTCACTTTTTCCATGAGAATATCAGCTGTTCCAGATTGTCTGAACAACTGACTTGACTGTTTTGTCAGTGTGCCCTGTTAGAAGTAAAGACCATGAATGAAAGGGCTCACTTCTGAACCCACAACTCCACTGAGCTCTATCTGTCTTTATGCCAGGACCACACTACACTGTCTTGATTTCACAGTAGGTTTTGAAATTGGGAAATGTGAGTTTTTCAGTAATATTCTTCATATTTAAGATTGTTTCGGCAGTTATCTCTAAGGGTTAAAATTATATTCTAAATTATGTTCAAATATCTTTAATATAAAATATGCTACTAATACAAATAAACTGATCTTAAAATAACTACAAATGAATTTTTTACTTTTCATTTTTTTAATTAAAGATAAATTATTTTTATATAATTCAGTCTGATTATGGTTTTCCTCCCCCAACTCCTCCAAGATCCTCCCAGCTCCTCACCCATCCAAATCCACGCCTTTCTGTAATTACAAACGAATTTTAAAGTTATTTGTTGTACATTACAATGAGATTTTCAACATTTTATTCCTTTGTTCAGATTAGTGTTTGAAACTAGCAGCTATTCATATGGAATCTAAGTGCTAAGAACTTTCATAGTTTGGGAAAAATAAGTTAACATGACAACAATTTACTGTATTTTCTTTGAGACTCTCTTTAAGAAAATCTCCCCAGGGGATGAATCTATGTTACTTCCTCATCAACAATGAAGTTTAACCATGCAAACAAAATCTTAGTCAAATCACAGTATCACTCAATCTTATATCCCAGGAGCCAACATGTACATTGTGCCTAATACTGGGGATGCATCAGGAATGGAAATTAGCCCCTTTTCATGTGGAGTGCGCATTATTTAATTATTTAAATACAAAATCAAGTATTTTTTTCTTTTGCTCATTTGGATTTCTCTATGGCTTCTCAAAAAAAAAAAAAAAAAAAAAAAAAAAAAAAAAATGTAAGCTTTAGTGTTCCTAGCAGAATAATTTCTGACATAAGTAAAAACAAAGAGTGAAAAATGAAAACTTACAGGTGATGTATAGTGGCCACATATTCCTACAAAGAAGGCTGTGAATGACACTGTACAATCTTAGGACACTGTGGAAAGTGTGTAAACAAAAGCAAAATGAGAACTGACCAGGAGTTGTGTTTCTTTTTTTAACTACTATTTTATTGTTTGGTGGAAAGTGTGTAAACAAAAGCAAAATGAGAACTGACCAGGAGTTGTGTTTCTTTTTTTAACTACTATTTTATTGTTTGGGTTCTTTTCTTAAATAGCCAATCAGTTGAAAAAAAGTTACCAGGTTAAAAGACGTCTAACAAATGCAACAAAGTATTACAAGAGAGGATCCTTTCTAGCCTTTTTAAACTCTGCAAGAGTTAAACAAGTAGCAAAAAGAGAGCAAACCCTGCCTCCCTCTCTGCAAATGTGAATACTGTGAATACTATCACACTGAGAGCACTTTGCCATATTTGCTTCAATTAAAAATAATCAAAACCTACTGTAATCAACCTCAAATTTGTTCCTATGATTTCTTTATAACTTCATTATATGAATACATCCATTATTTGACAGAAATAGTATACACTTTATATACTTGTAAGTTTCCCCCTCAATACTGTAGTACAGAGATTTGCCCAGGTTTTAATGAGGATCTCTCCCCCCCCTCCCTTTTCTCTCCCCCTTCCTCCCTCTTTCTTTCCATGCTATGTCTATTCCAAGCTGACTTCCCCATTCTCTGGGTATGTTCACAGTGAGTGCTAAGACTGGCATCCTGGTTGAATGGTGGGTAGTCTGTAAGAGCATCATTTTGGAAAGAGCTGGCTAGAGTCTGGAACCTAGACCTGTTATGTAACCTCAAACCTTCTCTGTCTCAAACCTTCTCTGTCTTCCTTCAACTGAAACACAGAGACATTAGTGGTATGAATCCTTCACATTCATTGTTATGAAGATTTCAGTGTTCAAATATATGAAACTTATGTCATACTTAACAGTGGCTACTCCTAGGAGTTGTGTTCGGCTGTTGCTTTTACTTCCCTTCCTTTGTCCACTACTCTACATTCTATACAAACACCTAGATGACTAACTGCTAAACAATCTTTCTTTAAAACCCAGACCATCTCACAACTCTCAGAAAACATGATATCCCTCCATATCCTGTATGTGGAACACCAATTAACACAAAGCATGTGAACTGTCAGAGTGGGTAACCTGCAAAAACAGTAATATGCTTGTCTAAAGGAATTAGCCCTAGGAGTTACTAGTTTACAGTTGAGGGGGGGGAGAGACAAGGGAAAAGCCCATGGTTAATGGTATAGATGCTGCCTTAAGACCTTGTTCAGCTGGCAGTGGTGATGCACATCTTTAATTCCAGCACTCAGAAGTTGAGGCAGAAGGATATCTGAGTTTGAGGCCAGCCTGGTCTACAGTACAAGTTCCAAGACAGCTAGGGCCATAACAGAGAAACCCTGTCTCAAAAACCAAAAAGAAACAAAACAAAACAAAACAAAACAAAAACCTAAAAACAAAAGCCAAAAAAAAAACAAAAACAAAAACAAAAAAGAAAACAGAACATATCCTTGTCCAGCACATGGTCTTCCACCACTGCCCATGTACCTCTCCTCTCCATCTCTATAAAGCCCTTCCCTGTACTTACGTCCCCAACATGGTCTTCTGGGGAGAAGAATGCTCCTTCCACATTTTAGGGTGGTGGCTCTTAGCTCTTTTCTACCAAGTATCAGCTTTTCAGTGTGAGCAGATAAACACAGGACTGATAAATATTTTACATTTTTGATGTGGTAGACAATGCAAAATAGAGATAATTCTAAAATACATGAAAACCTCAATGATATCAAGAAATTTCTAATGTATATGTCAATATTTCCAATTAGTTCTATAAGCCTAGTGTTTAATTCTGTCATTTCTTCAGTTCTCCTATTCTGTTCTTTATGGCCTTTTTATAAGGTAAGTCAGTGATATAAGTCAAAATACCTTAACATATAAAGCTAAAAGTTCAAGGAAACATGTAGTTAGTTTTGTTTGGTAAAAGCATTAGGAATACAAAGGTAAAGGACAGCACACATTGGAGCATACCATGAGGCATATGTGTCCAAAGCAAAGCATTTTCCAGAAACACAAATTATGTGGCAACTATAGCCCAAATATGACTCAAACCTTGAATGATTTTCACTGAAGCATTTGTAAAGGTGGAGGAATTAGATACAAACACCATTACTCACTCTCACTTCACCAGGCAAGCTTACCGTAAAGTACACTCCATTTCCTCTTCAGCTTGTGTAGTAAGAACACGAAAAGAGTACTTGTTGAGTAACAAGGAAAAGCTATCCCCAGGATTCAACCAGCACCACGTGTGTGTCTTCATTGGCAAGAGCTGGCTCTTCTCAGAGGACTGATGGAAACATGGATTCGTATGTATCTAACCAGTAGAGAACACAGTGATGCATCAGGATTGTGAAAAATACAACAAAATAAGAAATGATCCACAATTTTGATATCAAAACAATTAAGTACAAAATTACACTTGAAAGTTTAGTAAGCCTAGCACCTAGTGCCATAACCATTTACGTGTGTAAAAAGGGTTCTACGTCACATTTCTGAAGGAATCCAAGATAACAAGCAACATCATCAATTGATTAGTTAAATAAACTACTCAGTGGATAAGAAAGATGAAAAAACAATTCCCAATATGGTAAGGACCCCATTGTTTATCCCAAGTGCACAAAGCCCATCAACAGCACTTCTTTGCTAGTTGCTGTCTCCTAGTACTTTCTGACACAATTTAAAAGTAAAAAACCATGAGGCAGGAAATGATGATCAAATATCTCAAGCATAACTGTTTTCTTTCTAGCTGTCTTAATAATTTCACTTTTAAATGAAATCCCTTCCATGAATATCATTTAGATTGAAATCACAAGTTATTAACACATATCAAGGACAAAACTATTACTGCATTAATTACTTCAGATTATATTGTTCCACTGACTGCCTCCATATTAGCAAAGATAGTTTCCTCAAAGGTAATTTTTAAAATACCTATTGCAAGTATGAACTGGTGAGAAGTCTTAGCAGGTAAAGGTACCTGCCACCACACCTGAGGACCTAAACTTCATCCCCAGGACCCACACAGTGGGAGGAAAGAACCAACTTCAGCAAGCTGTCCTGTGCTGTCTACAGACATGCCCCCCACACTCACACATACACACGCAGGCACGCATATCCTCTGCTCTCTGCAAACACATACACATACATACACCACAACCACCCCCCCCCCCACACACACACACGTAATTTTAAAAATCTTAAATGTAATCAAGGTAAAATTGACTATTTCTGTAAGTCAAACAGTCAATTTTTCATAATTACTATTAGGTTTTGAAATAAAGAAGCCTTATTATATGATAACATAATCTATGATAATGCAAAACAAAACAATATAAAAATCTGTGATTTTCTTCAACAGAGTCTTATACAGAACACTCCCTGTGACTTCTTCCTCTATTACATCATGGTAAATTATTGTTTTCTAAAGAAATCAATTTCCCTAATATACCAACTTAATCACTCAGCATTTTTTATTGGTCAGTCATTTAAATATACATATGTATGTATTTGTACATATACATATCACTGCCTAAGAATGGAGAATATCATTTATGCAATAACATTTCCCAAGGAATTACAAAAGCTTGGTTTAAAATATCAAATCATCAGGCAGTTATTAAATCTACCCACAAAAAGAGTGAATTAATGTTCCTTGATAATCTTTTTCTTAAGCTGTTTATACAGTGGACTCCAGAAGAAAAATGAATGACATTTCAAGGAAGTATACTGATCAAGCCTTTAAGTTAAGTCCAAATACATATTATCTGCTAAATATATATGTACATGTATGTATGTATGTATGTATGTATGTATGTATGTATACACAAAATTACATACAATCTAAGTTTTTAACAGGTATAAGTCAGGAAAAATAAGTGGCTCAAAGCCCTTATGATTCTGTTCAAAAGTCAGAATTATAAGCTATTCTCATGGTACTTTTAGATTTTCCAGAACCTCTTAATATGTTTTACATATTGAAACCACTGAACTTGTTCCAGATGACTCAGGATTAACTTTGATAGTTATTTGACTATAACAAGTAATTAGAAATAGAAATCATCTCTTGTATATAGCACATATCATCTCCCATGTGGTCCACCAGGCCCTTCAGCACAAGCTAATGATAAACTTGATCAGCTGTTGCTATATACTAGAAGCCTCAGAGTTTCATAAGAAACACCACGTTAATAGCGAAGATTTGAAGAAATATTTTTCTGTCACTTAGCAACAAACCAATGAAATTATAAGGAAATGTCCTATTTGCTCTTGTATACAAAATACCATTACCAAACCCAAAAAGTACTTAAGAAATGAAATTTGATAAATATATTTCATTTTGCAAAGTTTGGAAAATTAAAGTATTCATACCACACCATGGATACTTTTTCAGAATTTCAATGGGCAACTGCTTTGAGTTCTGAAAAGGCTGATTCTGTAATTACACATTTATTAAAATTCATAGCCATTATGTGAATACCTGTACAAATTAAGACTGACAATGCTACATCCAGTATGTCTCTAGTAAAATGGAACAGTTATTATTTTTTGCATATTACAACATAAAGCATATAACAGGTATACCACACAATCCTACATGGTAAATAGTTATAGAAAGATCTAATCACACTTGAAAAACTATGCTAAACTGAGAGAGGTAATAAAGACCCCCCCCAAAAGATACATTATACAATGCTGTATTAACTTTAACTTTTTAATGCTAATGAGAAAGGGAGAACATCTGTGGAGAGACATTCGATAGCAGGGAAAAAATACTGCTGAATTAAATCAGCCTGTATACTTTATTGCTAGTAGAAAAAAAGCTGCTGAATTAAATCAGCCTGTATGCTTTAAAGATGCGTTGACCTCAGACTGGAAATCAGGACATGTGTTATGTTGTGGAAGAGGTTTTGCTTTTGTTTCCACAGAAGAAGAAAAGTTATAGATGCCATGAAGATTAATAAAGATTAGATTCAAACAGGGGAGACCTCTTGATTAGGAGAAGCAATAGTTCATTAAACAGCATAACTATTCAATCCAAACTAGCTTATAAGACTATCAAATGCTTTTCATTTGATCAGATATAACCTGCCAAAAGGGGAACTCCCCCAAAGTTAGGGCGGAACAGGGTTTTGTTTTTGTCTTTCCAAGAGAATAAAAGCATCCAACTAAGGTATCTGAAGACCACTGAACAAATGAGATACCTGAAGAAGGACAAATCATCAAGAGAAAAATGTCCCAAGAAAAAGAGTAAACTGATCTATTGGTGTATCACATCTCTCACAGGATAGAATTTTATAAATCTTCCCAAATGTGTGTTTCTGCTGTTCGCTACAGACATATAAAGCAAATAATATTTTTGTAGTCCCAATTCAATTAAAAATTAAAGTGGGCTTTGAAGTTGGAATGCCTTTCTCTCCTTCTCTAATCCTTGTTAAAGAAAAATTGAAAATCTGTCTGTCAGAAGAGCAACCTACTATGGGACAGAAGAAAACAAAATTTAAGGGACTATTCTATTGTCACTAATCTCATTATCTTTTAGTTTTATTTTGACTCTTTAAAACTTTTCTTAAGGCATAAATATCCCAAATTTCTAAGATATATATATATAGACACACACACACTTTCTGTCATGATATTAAAGACATACATTGTACTAAATAATTTTAGAAATAAGCTTCATTCAGCTTCCGGCTTGAGTCTGAATCAGGTACTAAGTTTGTGTACCCGAGATATATTTAACAGATTGTGGTCCTTTAACCTCTGGGAGATCTGCTGCATGTGGCATTTGAAATGTTTGGTTTTTTTTTTTTTTTTTTTTTTTTTTTCAGTGCACCTTGACTGTTTCTGGCCTTTGAGGTCTCCAAGAAGAGACCTGCAATGATGATTCCACCTAGATTGCGGTAACATCACTAAGCTGACAAACACCACCCAAAGATCAGTTTCAGACTACAAACTTCTCAGGACAATTTCAAGGTGACTAGCTGAGATGGTCCAGTCTCACAGATTACTCCAACCAGGACTTCAGAGAAGCCTTGCACTTGCCCATCACAGTGACACTGGACAAACAGCTAGCTCTCCCAGGACTTGACCATTATCCCAATTTTCTCAGGATCCCCCAAAGATGCTGTCCTGCCCAGACAGCAGAAAGTAATTTTAAGAACATGATACCCACATGCCTAAGAAGTAGGGTGGGTGGATTTTGATTGGTGGATTATGAGTGTTTATCATTATTTGGGGGTAGATGGTTACAAGTTGTTATTGGTCATGGTCAGGGAGGAAACTAAACAAAGGAGGTTAAATTAAGGGATCTCTTTCTGATAAAGAATTTTGAAAGGAATGATAGGATAAAAGGGTAGATTATAGAATCTACTTTTAAACTAAAAAGCAACTATTAATCTGAAATGTTTTACATTGGTATAGATTTTTATATATTGATACAAATTTAAGGTTATTTTTATTACAACATACACATATATATGTGTTTACTCTAGTTTAAGGAATGTTTATATACTGATACAAATTTAAGATTATTTTTGCTATAACATACTGTGTGTGTGTGTGTGTGTGTTTCTACTCAAGGTATTATACCTATACAGCTCATTTTAAAATATAATATAAAGTTCTAGTAATTATTATTGAAAGCTATTATTACAAACTATTTAGGATAATAAAAAATGCAGGTTAGTAGTTAGTCATCTATAATAAGAAAACCTATAGTCATGGTGGGTATGTTTTCAACAGAGATACATTTTAGATAGATGGTCTTCAAATACTTCAGAGATCTACAGAATATGGCACTTAAGATGCTTAAGGCTTTTCATGACAGATATATTTGCTCCTGGAAGTACCAATCTACTTCAAAGAAGATGATAGGCACTAAAGAACCTCCATATGGACTTTGCTTTCATTTGTGGCAAAGTTTGCCACTGGGTGAGAAACTGCCCTTGCCCCAACTGCTGACAGTATGCTGTCCAATTTGGACAATCAGGACATGAAAGAAGATGAATGCTGAACTTTGCCAAGACCAGGTAGGACAGCCCTTCACAATCCTGCTTCACAGGAAAGTCTGTCAGGTATTCTAGACCCATAGGCCAAAGACAGATGCCCCAACATCACAGAGAAACCTTGGGGGATTGTCCAGGCAACCAGCTGTCTGTCATTTCTACAGTTTAGGAAGCTGTTTACTCTACATTTTCTGTTTACTCAGATAATATCTTTATCCTTCTCAGGTCTTTGATAGGATTGAAGACTAGATAGTTATACAGTTTTCTTTGTTACCAGAAAAGAAACTTAAAAAGAGATATAAAGTTGAGAGACATAAAAGTTTAAGTTGTTTATCTAAGAAAAATTTTAGAGGTCTAAAAAGATATTTTTAGGGTGGTAATACAAATTATGATAGAAAGTGGTTTAGGTAGCCAGGTGGTGGTGGTACATGCCTTTAATCCCAGCACTTGGGAAGCAGAGGCAGGTAGATCTCTGTGAGTTGGAGAGCAGCCAGGTCTACAAGAGCTAGTTCCAGGACAGGCTCCAAAGCAACACAGAGAAACCCTGTGGTTTAAGTAGCCGTGCTTTGGTGGTGCACGCCTTTAGTCCTAGCACTCAGGAAGTAGAGGCAGGCGGATCTCTGTGAGTTCGGGGCCAGCCTGATCTACAGAGCTAGTTCCAGGACAACCTCCAAAGCAATACAGAGAAACCCTGTCTCAAATCAAAACAAAACAAAAAAGTGGTTTATGTATAAAACATTAAACTCATCAAGATAGGATAGATAATAATTTCTCCAAATTTGCCAAATACAAATAAATATATTGGATATTATAAATGTAATTCTTATCTGATTATTGTTCTTATTGTATATAGTTTTACTATGTTAGAGTTAAAACCTTTCCTTTTTATTTAGACAAAAAGGGGAAATTTAAATGTAGCATTTGGTTAACTTGTTCTATTAATAAAAACTCGGGAGTCAGATATCGGGGTATGAACCTAATTGATCAAGAAAGCAGGTGGGGAACTATTACCTGGCCCTCTCCATCCTCCCAGATCAAAAGTGCTTCAAATCTTTCCAAGCCCCTCCCTATCTCTTCCTGTGCCTCTATTTGAGCCCTCAAATCTTTATGGTTAATTTGTGGACTTGATTCAATGTTTAACTTTATTAACAGGCATGGAGTGTCACAATACAATCAAATATACCACAACATACATATGTTATAAAAATTATATTGGTTTATTTCTCTGCACATAATACTATTCAGTAGGATTTGAATATTAACAAAACAATCTAGAAAAGTCTAAGAGTTAATGTAAAACAAAGAAATCTAATCATCAAGACAACTCAAAGGATCTACCAATGTATCAGTGTCCATTCCTCCTTTCACTTCCATGGATTACAGAGTAAGCAACTGAAACCTTAACCTTGCACAATGCCGAGTGCTGTCACAAAGCTCTCACCAGGGCCAGATGTGTCATTGTCCACCTCGCTTTTCTGAACTAAATCCAAACAAGTAACATTCTACAGAAACAGGAATTGAAATGCTTCCCCCTTCCCTAAAGATGCTTCAGTAATAATAAACTTCTTTATTTTAAGCCATAGTAGTTCATTAGAAGGGTATTAGAAATTGGGTACTGAAAAGTAAGTACTTTTATAAAAACCCATGATATACCAACTTTCCAGAAATTCCACATTATATTTCTCATCACAGCAATGACTCATGCATTGGACTATACTATACTGAGAACCTGATACAGTGTAGGCATTACAGTAAACACCAGAGACACAAAATGAGTCCAACTCCCCATATTAAATGAGCTTAAATGATCTCAACTAAGGAAAATAAGAAAGCAAAGATCCAGAGGTGCTCTACTGCTAGTCTCCAGGGTGCAGGCTACAACACTGACACACTGTCAAGACATTCAGCCCAACATGATAACAACATACAAAGCTTTAAAACAGTATTCATTCATGGTTGAGATGAGGTAAAGTCAATTCTACTTAAAAGTTTTCCCAGTACTAAATCTAAAAGGCTATTATTGTAACAACTGTTCAACATGGAATAATAAAAGGAAATAGTATATTTTTTAAAATGTGTAAATTGAAGTAATGACTTATATAACAGACAGTAATACAGAAATGATGAAATCACAGGGCTAGGGTATAGTTCAGAAGTGGAGCACAAGCTAGGATGGGGGTAAAAATACAAAATGGCTTAAATGTCATAAGTCAGAGTGGATTTAGTTCCCTAATATTTATTTCACCACAAACGAAATACTCCAAAGTGAATGAGGTCTCATGCACACAACTCATCACAACGAAATACTCCAAAGTGAATGAGGTCTCATGCACACAACTCATTCTCCTATACAAAAGAGTTTGCAACTGAAAGAAAATAAATAGGTGGTCTCAGGATCACCCTGCAAAGCACTGATGCTCAGGCTATAAAGCAAAGGATTAGAAGTCCAGCCTATAGACAATGCTTCAAATGAAAATCATCTACAAAACAGAGAAGTAGAATAAATTATGCAATTTACAAATACTTCTATACAAAGAACCACAGAAATGTGTTGATAAAAATCCTCTAACACTGAAGTGAGTTTACTTACTACCTCATCTGTCCCCATCAAACCACACATCACATAGTTACAGGCATTCTTTGTTTGGGTGTAGGGGAACACTGCACAATGTCACTCGGAGATAGGAGGCAGATCTCAGGTGCCCTCCTCTATCTTCTCCATTCTCTTGAGGTAAAGGTGTTTACTGAACCTAGAACTCACCATTTTTAGCTAGGACAGCTGGCCAGCAAGCTGCAAGTGCACTGTCTAAGCTCCCCTCACCTCTATGGTTATAGACACACATTGCTGTGATGACATACCATGATCATAACAACTTATATAAAGGAAAGCATTTAACTGAGGTGACAGCTTACAGTTTTAGAGATTTAGTCCATTATCATCATGGTGGGGAGCATAGAGGTGTGCAAGTAGACATGGTGCTTGAGAAGGAGCTGCTACATATTGATATGCAAGCAACAGGAAGCAGACTGAGACACTGGGCAGTATCTTGAGCATATATGAGACCTCAAAGCCCGCCTCTACCATGACAATCTTCCTCTAGCAAGACCATACCTATTCTAACAAGGCCACACTTTCTAATAGTGCCATTCCCTTTGGGGACCATTTCTTTCAAACCACCACACATAGCTTTTCATGTGTACATAGGGACCAGAGCTCAGGTTCTCATTTACAGAGGAAGAGCTCTTCATTGCCCATGTTAAAGGTACTTTTATATGAACCACTTGGAATATCCAGTATGAACAAAATTATAATTTACACACAGGCAATCATCTTCCATTAATTCTAACCATTCAAATTCATCTCTGTACTATGAGAAATACAGTTTACTATTTAGATATTTACCTTAAAGGTATGAGATGAATAGGTTCCATTCTGACATCAATTCCCTATTTCCAAACCTTGGAATAAACAGGCATATCTAATCATATATTAGAAGGGCAAGAAGCAAAGGGTTAAAATAAACCAATATACTCACTGGTTTGATTCGAAGCTGATTGGCCACTACCTCTAGAATGGCATGTCTTCTGGATACTCTTTTGTCTGTTATCTACAAGGGATAACATGTCAAATTTAGCCACCTCCTTAAAAGATAAACAAAACCCTTAGTAACACGTATGAAATTAGTAGGCTAGACATTAAATATATTATTAACTAAATGACTGCATGTCAAAAAAAACAAAACTGCCCTCATTTAACAGATAATGAAACAATGAAGAGAAGGGGGAACTTACCAAACTCATGAAAGAGTAAATGACTACCCAGAAAAGCCTGAGGCCTACACATCCCCAAACTCTCCCAATTCCTACACATGAAACCTACCTAGAGAGGGTTCCTACCAGTAAAGTCTACCAAATCAGAAAAACATTCAGGATGCACTAGTTAGGGAACACTTCAAATATAAAAATTTAGTTTGTCCTAAAGACTAAGTGGTAAATGTGAAGGGTGTGGTCACAAGGTTAGACAGATCAAATAACTTGCATTCCTGTTCTAGGGCCACGAGTGGCAGCCCAAGTCAAATATTTACAGTGAAGAGGAAATCAGTATCTATGTCTTCAATATAATTACTTCCTGTTTTGAGATAATAATGGTCAATTTACACTCACAATTATTTACCACATCTATGTTCAAAACTGCTTCTATTTTAAATGCTGAAATGATCATCCCTTCCACCTCATTGTAAACGTAACAGCTGAGATTAACTTTTTTATCCCTGACTGATATATGATAAAAACATCTTAAGCAACAACTAATGACATTATTATCATATGACCTGTCTTATGATTAATTCACTTACTGTCAAATACTTGAAGTCTAGCATTACATAAAACAGGATCAAAATTATCTCTCAAAGCATGCTATAGCATCATATGGATAAAATTAAACCCACTAAGGCTACACAAAAACATTGAAACTGTCAATAATCAGTACTCATTTTTTTTTAAATCATGTAACACTTCATCAAAAAAAAACAAAACTTTTTTTTTTTTAAATCCTAGGAAAAATATCTTCGAAACCTCATTAAACTATGGCTATTTCATAGACATAAATTATCACAACTTAAAAAAAATAAAAGTTTAGAGACTCCTTCATTGTATTGTGAAGGGTACCTGAGTGGGCAGAATCAGTAGCAGTTACTAGTGACTCACCCTACCATTTGCATAATCTACAGGCTGAGCTATATACTAGGACTTACCATAACACTACTGCAGCTATTATCCACTTTGCAGTTTGGATTCTGAAAGCCCAGAGGGGATTTAAGTAACTTATATAGTCACTCTCAGAACACTGTTCAAAATCCTTACTCTTACTAATAAAAATAAATGACATATGTGAGGAAACATTTACATATGACTAAACCTAAATAAAATCATTCAGAAGCAATCACAGAAATGCAAATAACTCTCAGAGCTCAGAGTAAGAAGTTCCTGTTTTTATTTTGAGTATCAAGATCTCATTGTCACTTCACCACAAATGGATTCCCTAACCATCAGAGGAATGTCATGATAAAACCACGATATATAACAAAGGTTTCTCTAATATTCCATCCAAGGCTTCTTTCCTGTTTATATGATCCATAAGCAATAAAGGCTCTTTTATATCTGAATCTATTTTTTAAGCAGGCTTAACACTAGGAAGAAAGGGATATTTTGAATAATACAAAAGTACAGTGTGACCTCTAGTGAGAACATGGTTTATTTCATTACAAACTACTGACACCAATAAATAAATAAATAAATAAATAAATAAATAGATGGTTTTGTTGGGTACAGGGCTACTACATGCCTCTAACCCCAGCACGTGAGAGTGAGGCAGAAAAATTACAAGTTCAAGAGCAACTTGGGCTACGTAGTGAGACCCTATCTTTTAAAACAAATACATTTGAAATAACCTAAATTCTAACACACCAACACGTCCTACAAAAATTCAAAGAAATCAACAGCTAAAACAAACCCTATCAACATCTAAAGCAAAACCAGGAAACTCCTTAGCGAACACACTCAAGAAAGACAGAGATAGCAATCCAACAGGCTATACAGGAGCAGGAAAGGCGATGTGGTATAGGGAAGAACGGAGGAAAGCAACAGGGAAGCCGGCATCAAGAAAGTACCACTCAAGCAGGAGATGATGGTGATCCATCCTTTCAGAAGAAAATGCACCCAAAACAGAAGCTTAAAGATAAAAAGCAGCTGAGTCTCTGAGCCTTTACTATTGCCAAAAAACCAACCATCACATAGCCTCATCTCACATTAGCAGGGCTAATAGAGCATGGCAGAGGCCAAAATCCACCCCTCTCCTCACCAATCCATAGTAGTCTGGATTGGCAACAGGATATCTTGCCCCTCTGAAGCAAGCTAAAGCAGGTTAGTCTCGGGCATCTGATTACTTACCAGGTGAAGCACAAGCTGCACTGAGGGCTTAACCTCAACATTCAAAAGAAGACACGTTTCCAGGAGACACTTTCCAACCTCTGTTCAGTCCAACAAAGGATGGAAAGTGGCACGGTGTTTACATACAATAAACAATCACCTTGGAGATGTAGGCAGCATGTAAACTTCTGCTTCTGCAATGTTGTGCCACACATATGTGCCTCTTTTCTCACACACCCCTCTAGAGCTAACATACAAAACACAGTATCAAGCATCAATCACATTTCCTATTCCCCAAATAGCCTTAAAGCTAATACTAATGGTTCCATTCAGACGCTGGAAACTAGCCGAGCTGACTACACTCCTTACACCCTGTCATTACCTGACCCAGGTCTGCTCCACTAATCCAAGACAAAACACACACAGGGTGCAGACCCTGCATGCCTCATTCATCTCTGTATGCCCACTGTGCTATAATCAGCAAACTGACATGCACAGAAGAGAATGGGGCAGGGCAGGGGAGTAGGGGAGACATGTAATTAGGGAAATAGCTATAAATGTAGTAAACCAAAAAGATCATAAACTTACTTAAGATTTTATGTTTTATTATACATGTCAGGATATGCATATGTACACAATGCCCAGAGAGGCAGGTGGTTGTGAACTGCCTAACATAGGTGCTAGGAACTGAACTCCGTCCCCTGTAAGAAGCCACAGGCTCTTGGGGACCTAACCCATCTCTCCAGCCCCTTGTGATATTTACTGGGCTGACAGGTTCTCTAGAGTGGCCATTGTAAATGATTTGCCTTGTGGTAATGCCAAATGGATGAAAACTACTGAATACAATTTCATAGCACAATCTACAAATGTTCTAGTTCCTAATCTTCCCAAAGAGGGAAAGGAGTATTTAGCTTGGTGGCCATTTGTATATGTGTCATCTGTTAATAACCAGTTTATAGTACAGTTCTCTCAACTGAACAAGGCTAAAAAAAAGCACCTGACTCAAAGCTTTGAAAGGATAAAATTTGAGTATCTCTTTAGACCAATGATTGGTTCACTACCCAGACTACTTAAGGGTTAGCTACTGATATTACCAAAAGAACTACTACTGTTATGGTAAGGCCACCAGCGCTGAAGAAGAGAGGATAAAAATAAATCAGCCTGGCGAGGTCACTGGATTGACCAACCTTTTGTGTAACGGGCCGTACAATACTGTAACTATTGTAAGCTTCGTAGGTCAACATGCAATACGTTAACCCTTAGAGTAACTAATCTTCCTTAAAAGCTAATAGTGGTTTTGTTTATTTGGCCTGTTTACATTTTATATCTTATAACCAAACTTAGCCTAGATTTGACCCTTTTGATCATGATGCTAACACACTCAGTACTTTTTATAGGTACCAAAAAGAAATGTCTGTGAGTTGACTAACATTGACTGAAAACATACTGCCCCCAAACTGTAGAATCTTGACAAGCAGAGCCAAGCTGTGGAGTTCACAAGGACAGGAGACGAAGCCTCAGCCAAGCAACCTGGGAGCACCACCCGCACTTACTCCCAGCAGAGGCCCGCGGCCTATCACCGTCTGCCCAGGCCCCACGAGCACCCGGGGACCGCCATCCAGAGGCTGCAGAAAGAAGTCCAAAGACATGGAGATGAGAGCCAGTTCCTTCTCCAGGAGATGCCTCGCAGCCACCTCCGTCAGACACACGGAGCATGTCCTGCAGGGGTGTGAGACCCCAGGCTCCTTCAGTAGTGAGTGTGCTTTCTCCCTTTCCGGAATCACCACTCCACGCGAGTCAGAGACTCAAGCAGGTATCCCCGTCAAATCGCTGCCAAAATACTACTTAAAGGCACGGAGGGCTCACACCCACATCCTCCCAGCCCTTCCTCCCATAGGACCTGTGGAATGTTGGGTCTTGTAGTCCCTGACACCTCTCTTCCTCTCCTTTCCGGAGCGTAGACCTCGTGGAAAAACTACCAATCCCAGAAGGTAATACGCGCATCTCTGCGCCTGTGCAGATTCCAGTTGAGGGCCGAGGGAGTCGACTGGCACTGTCCTGATATCAAGGTCTATGTATGGAGAGGTTTTACCTGAGTGTTTAAGTAGCCATAGCGCTAGCCTGGTGGCCCTGTGTCCTTCCAAGAGGAAGGCGTTCTTTTTCCAGCGGAGTGTGGTGTGTGTATGTATTTCTTCCCCTTCCCTTCCGTAAGGAGGAGGCTTGGGCCCCAGTGGCAGGAGTGTCTTCCCTACCCCAAGGAGGATGTCTGGACTTACGCTTTTAGGGTTCACCGTCAGGAGGGATTTTTCTCTGCTCTGCAGAAGCGCCATGCTCAGTCAGGGATCAGTAGCCAGCGGGCCTTCTCTTCTTTAAGGCAGAAGCCTGGCTTAGGCGCTTGGCCCATGTGGCTGGAATGTCTTCCTTGTCTATAGAGGAGGCCTGTTCTCTGGCTGGGATCTGTACTGACACCAAAAGGAAGTGGGGGAAACGACTTGGGGAAAGCAAATATATGGCAGAGAAGCGAGGTGGTCTTTCCTGTGGAGAAGCCATGTGCTAATACAATATTAGGGCTTCTAGCTCTAGGGAACCTTCTCTTTGGAGGAAGCCTGGCCCAGAGTTTGGCCTTGCCCTGTTGTTTTCTTTCTTGTGGCTGAGACCAACCAGACTCTGCAAGGCCTTGTGTCAGGAGGGCTTTCCCTTCCTTAGCCAGGCCTGCACTATAGGCAAAAGGAGGTCTTCCTGTCACAGAGTCTGAGACAACAAGGTCTTCTCTTCCCTAAGGCCACTTTGTAACAAGCCTGGTAGAGATGAAGATATTCTAGAGAGACACTGTGTCCCTGGCTTCAGCTATCTTAACAGTAGGCCCCAAGAAATGGAACGTCCCCCAATACGCTTGTGCTGTGTGAAGGAGAAGCCTAAAGCCTTGCCTAGCCAGAAGACAGACTTTTCCCCCCAGAGAAGATTTCACACGGTCCCATCAACTTGTCAGAACACCTTGCTGGAGCAACTACAGCAGCCACAGTAATGGGCAGGGCCTCACCTTAACTGGAGACTGCTCAGATATTCATAACTCTGGCCCTCTACTTAAACTTCAACCTTGCTTTAGGAGGTTGAAGGTGGACTTGAAGGTCACTGGAGCTCTTTGTCCTTCCTCTTAATCAAAATCCCAATGAAATTTTCCACAGAACTAGAGAAAACAATTTAGACGTTAATATGGCCAAAGCAATCCTAAAGAAATGGTGGTATTATCACAATATCTGATTTCAAATTATATGACAGAGCTGTAGTAATGAAAGCAGTATGGCATTGGCACAAAAAGTGCACACATATAGTAATGGGGTAGAAGAGAGGATCTAGCAATAAACCTAGAGCAAACCTCATCTTTTGTCTCTAACACAACTGGAAAACTAGTTACCTACATATAAAAGAATTAAAGTAGATCCATGTCTCCCACTTGCACAAAAATCACCGTCTGATTATCTTGTGGGTATGTCTGTGGGATATTTTCTTGGTTAATGACTGATTTGGGAAGCCCCACCCCATTGATTTGGTGCCACCCCTGGACAGATGGTCATAGATTGTAGAAGAAAGTAGGCTGAGTCAGGTGTGGTAGAATTTCTCAGCACTTGGGAGGCAGAAGAGGTGGATCTTTGTGAGTTTGGGGGCCACTAAGTAACTAATAAGTTCCAGGAAATCAACAACAACAACAACAAAAAAATGCTCTGTGCTTCAGTTCCTGCCTCCAGCTTCTTGCCTCAAGTTCTTGCCCTGACTTGCCTTCATGATTGTGAGTTATCCATCAGAGAAGACCACTTGGGCATAGGTTCAAGCCAATAGAAAGTCTTTTAACCAGCTGGTGACTACATTGGTGTTCTGGACCCAAGTGCAGTTCCAAGCCTTCCTCGGGGTGAGTTTTTAATCACAGAAACATCATCCTGGGTTGGCATACTTCACTTAGCCTGAATCAGAACTGTGGAAGCCAAAAGGCAAGTTTACCATTTAAGGCCTTTCCCAGAACGATGGAGCTGGGTGGGTTAGGTCTTCACTCTTGCTTTAGCAGGTGGTGCTGCCTAAGTGCTGGGCTCCAGGGCCTGAATGGTACTCCCATCATGGTAGCAGTTGTACTAAGGTCTGGGACCTGTTATACCAGGATGTGTTACAGGGGCAAGGTGATGTGAACCCTTTCCTGCCCAAGTTTCATTTGGTTATGGTGTTTTATCACAGCAATAGAAACTAACTAGAACAGAAACGGCACTAGGTTCATGGGACATTGCTGTGACAGACTTGACCATGTTGTTTTTTAGACTGGGCTTTGGGGCTGAAAAGGGACTGAATGCATAGAGCTTACTGGGATTTCTGTGGGAACCTGGGAGATAATACTGAGAGCTGTGATTAACAGGAGACCAGCAGCACTAAAGGGGAGCCTTTGCTTTGCTGGGGATCATCTATACTGATTAGCCAGAGCTAAGATATTAGCAGTGAGAAGAGACCAGCATCACTGAGGAGAAATCTGGGAGTATTTCCTCAGGGTCAACACACAGAAGCTGTAGTCCATAGGGAAGGCTGTTTCTCATGCTGGCGGCCAAACTAGGTAGTGTGTTATCAGTCCTGAAGGCATAAAGGTGTCATGGAGAGCAGCTGAGGCTTGGGCCCAGGAGACACCACTGGGGGAAGGTTAGGGTTACACACACACACACACACACACACACACACACACACACACACACACACCTGTAGTGCCAGTTTCCACAAGATTACTGCAAACCGTCACTCTTCTTACTCCCAAAAGATTGATACTCTGAAGTTGGGGCTGGAGACATGGCTCAGCAGTTAAGAGCACTGCTGCTCTTCCAGAGGACCTGAAGACCATCTATATAGACAACCATATATTATGGGATTTGCTGCCCTCCTCTGGTATACAGGCCTACATGCAGGCAGGATACTATACATAATCAATCTTTTTTAAAAAGCCTCTGAGGTTAACTAGAATGACATTCAATACTCCCCTTGATATCAGCTGATGCAAGTCTATCCCACCGTCCAAGAGAAAGAACACTCTTACAAGTGTGAGATACAGACTATCTTTGTATGCCACAGAACTAGCAGCTGTAAAACATTGTGGGTAAGTGGACACTACACAGATGTTGAATGGAGATGGGAAAATTATAGATGTGCTTTAGAAGAAATAAATATGTAATGAAATATGAAAATCTTAAAGCTTCTTTTTCATATGTAATTTATTTAATTTTATTTTATGTGCATTGGTGTTTATCCTGCATGTAAGTCTATGTGAGTGTGTTGGATACCCTTGAACTAGAGTTGTAGGCAGTTGTAGGCCACCACATGGGTGCCAAGAATTCAACCTGGGTCCTCTGGAAGAAAAGTCAGAACTCTTAACCACTGAGCCATTTCTTCAGCCCAATCTTCAAACTTCTAATCTTCCCAAAGAAGGTAGAGAATATATAGTGAAATAGCTATAGATATATGGTATGATGGTGGTGGTGTTAACTTGAGACAGTATCTATGTAGTCCTGGCTGCCCTGGAACTAACTCTGTAGACCAGGCTAGCCTCAAACTCACAGAGGTGTCGTCCCCCCATCCCCGTCCCCCCACACACACACACACCCCGCCTCCTGGGTTCTGGGACTAAAGGCATATACCGCCACATCCAACATTTTTATGTTTTAATAGCCAGTTTGTGGTCTAATTGTTTTCATCTGAATAAAGACAATGAAAGTACCTGAGGTCGTTTTTATGAGTATTAAAGTATACAGATTCCTTAGGTCAATGATTGTCATTACCCATACTATTTAAGGATCAGCTGCAGATAACAGTGAAAAAAAAACTTTTAATAAAAATGAGTGAAAAAAGAAAGAAGAAAGGAAAGATGATGGAGGAGATTTAAATGTGTGGGAGAGTGCCGCCAGAGACAGGGACCTCTGGTAACATCCAGCTTGTGCATGGCCCTGAGCTGGGCCATGTGAGGAGAGAGGGAGGGGAGAAGAAAGGAGACAGGGGAGACAGGCACAGCAGCCATGAGGCCCAAATATACAAAAACATAAAAAGAGTGGGTAACCAAAATGCTTGGATTGAATAGGGGAAAGCAGCCCAGCACCTGGAGGGTTTAGGGTAGGGGCGGTATGGCAGCTCAGAGGACCCTTTACAGGTAGGAACTGAGGGATGCAGGGAGAACCTGATGGCCAGGTCCATTTTGATACGTTAAACAGGCACCTCAGCTTGGCTCTATCCTGCCTTTATCAACCAAAGAGAGCAACACATACTCCGGCATACAGAAAGGCATCCCACAGCACTGAAACTATTTAGCTCCATAATCCACTGTCATTCTCTGGGGGCCATCTGGCTTTTGCACAGGCTATACTGGAATTTTTAAATGGTTTGGAATCTAAAAAACATAGAGATACACTTAAAGAGGATGGGAGATGAACCTGTACAAGGTGCCCCCAGAAAAGATTATCACATAACACTAACTCTAACCCTAGTCATAAACACTGACCCTAACCCCACACAGTTCCATCCAGGCCACTTACCTATGTATTTTATGTGAGTTGAAGCTACCAAGTACAGTGAACATGACTGTGAAGGTCACCAGTGTGCAAGGTTATTATGCAAGATGGCTTGTAACATGAGTTCTAATAGATCTTAATGATAAAAACCCAGAGTCAGATATTGGGATAAATGCTGAAAGGCCAGAGAATTAAAGGAACCAGCCACAAAAAAGACACCTGTTACCTCTCCTGAATCCTCAGACAAAGAGATAATTAAGA